GTGACGGTGGCCCCAGGGCTAATGCAATTGACCATGGATGCACTTTGTTTATATCAGTAGCATCTCCACTCCTTACACGTGCCTCCAGTAAACCATTCCATTGGGTGCTCCTTCTTTGAATCTTCATGTCAAAGCAGGCTTCTGGGCCAGCAGGGTTTTTTGATTCATGGAGTGATGATAAGTCAAAAAGTGCCACTTAAGGGACTAAACTCGATGGCTGTTATGTAAAGTCTAACATACTTCCATAAGTATCATCTGTGTTTCTCTGGTGAAAGTATTTTCTTGGTTGTACTGGTTCTGATGACTAAACAACAATAAAAATGTCTTGGAAAAGACAAAGGAGCCAAACACTGTTAAATTCACCTTCTTAAATGAGGAAGAGTTTTAATTTTTCTCCCAAGAACCGTCTCAGATTTAGGCTCTTTTTTTAGGAGCGTCTCAGCGTAAATGTTAACAGTATTTTTCCTATTCAGTTCAGCTCAGTCGCTCAGTTGTGTCCGACTCTTGGCAATCCCATGAACCACAGCACGCCAGGCCTCCCTGTCCATCACCAACTCCCAGAGTCCCAAACCCAAACCCATGTCCATCAAGTTGATGATGCCGTCCAACCATCTCATCCTCTCTTGTCCCCTTCTCTTCCTGCCCTCAGTCTTTCCCAGCATCAGGGTTTTTTCCAATGAGTCAGCTCTTTGCATCAGGTGGCCAGAGTGTTGGAGTTTCAGCTTCAACATCAGTCCTTCCAATGACCACCCAGGACTGATCTCCTTTAGGATGGACTTGTTGGATCTCCTTGAAGTCCACAGGTCTCTCAAGAGTCTTCTCCAACACCACAGTTTAAAAGCATCAGTTCTTCAGCACTCATTCTTCTGTCCCTGATGGGCACAGCTTTCTTCATAGTCCAACTCTCACATCCATACATGGCCACTGGAAATACCATAGCTGTGATTAGATGGACCTTTGTTGGCAAAGTAATGTCTCTGCTTTTTAATATGCTGTCTAGGTTGGTCATAACTTTCCTTCCAAGGAGTAAGCGTCTTTTAATTTCATGGCTGCAATCACCATCTGCAGTGATTTTGGAGCCCAGAATAATAAAGTCAGCCACTGTTTCCACTGTTTCCCCATCTATCTGCCATGAAGTGACAGGACCAGATGCCATGATCTTAGTTTTCTGAATGTTGAGCTTTAAGCCAATGTTTTCACTCTCCTCTTTCACTTTCATCAAGAGGGTCTTTAGTTCTTTTTCACTTTTCCTATTGTTAGTGGAACTCTAATTCTGTAAGTGTCTGCCTGTTTGTCTCTTGAAGTGATTTCATTAGATGGTTTGTAATTAATTGTCTGACATCATTAATCTTATATTCAGAGTCTGGATTTGTGTTCTCTGGAAGCCAAGTGTTAAAATTCCTTTGGTTGAACCATTGACCATCTAATCATTGTTACACAGGAAGCATTAAAATCATGATAAAAATGAGCAGTTAGGGACTGGTGATCTCTCAAATGAACCTGCCTGTCACGTTGATTCAATGCACAGGAAAAAAGGATCCAAAGGATTCAGGAAACTTTGGAATACACAGCTCTGTGTATGCTAGTGCAGCTGTTATTGACAGGGAGGTGTGGGAAAACCCTGAAACCCTTTCAGGCTTCCATGAGGACAAAGTTATTGTCATCATAATATTAAGACACTTTTTGCCTTTTTTTGCTGTGTCAGTATTTGCATTGATGGTGCAAAAGCAAAGGCAGGGAAACTGCTTGTCCTTAGCATGGATGAAGGTGGTGACTTCAAACTCTACTAGTAAATGGCTATCTCTTTCTTCATCTCCATGCCACTAGTGTTCAAAGAAACTGTGTTTCACGTAAGCATGTCTTCCTGTAGCAGTAAAAATTATTTTATTAAAACCTTGACCCCGAGGGCATCTCTCTCGTGTAATGCATAATGACATGTGAGGTACACATCAAGTATCTTTCATGCCCGAGTACATCCATGGTCTGGTTATCTCAGGGAAGAGATGTGGGACCTAGCAGGACTGCCCTGAGGATAGCAAGAGTTCCAAAGAAGTCTTGAGCTTGAATGATTGTTGTCAGTGGTGTTGGTAGCTGTGTTGGTGGGATGTCTGAAACTGTTTTGTGTGGTATGTGGATAGAGCAAGTGGGTAGGTCTATGAGAAGTACCAGCAATTGGGGTTTTCATTGTGGGGAGGGAGATACTACTGGGCTGAGGAAAATGAGCAAGAATCCTGTCATGCTGGGTGTGAATTCAAGCTGTCACACTAAACTTAGAGGGAAGGTATTTGTGACACCTCTGCTCTGTCCTGCCTTCCCTGATGGCTCAGTTGGTAAATAATCTGCCTACAGCGCAGGAGACCCGGCTTCGATCTCTGGGTGGGGAAGATTCCCCTGGAGAAGGAAATGGCAATCCACGCCGGTACGCCTGGGAAGTCCCGTGGATAGAGGAGCCTGGTGGACTTAGAGCCTATGGAGTCAAAAAGAGTCAGACACCACTAAGTGACTCCACCACCACCTTGCTCTGTCCAGTCAAAGCAAAGACACTCTGCTGGCAAAGAGGACACCGAGGTCTCAGAGCTCGATTTCTAAATGCCCGGGTGCCTTGGAGAAATGACTGATCTAAGGTCCGAGGCAAGTACAAGGCTAGCTTGGCATGCGTTTTTGTGTCAGAAAGCAAGGAGGTGCTCAGAGACTATTAGGGCTGTGTCAAAGTGACACAGTTTGACTTGAAGGAGCTTCTGATGGCTGAATTTGGGACAGTCTGGGCATGAGAAAGAATGATGAAACAGTAATGAGTAATAATAACACACTGACTTTAGAAAAGTCCACAAAACTTCCTGGGAGGGAGGGAGAGAGGGACAGACCGGAAGAGAGAGAATAATACATTGCAGGAGAATGCCACCTAATATATGAAAGGGGAATGGTATTAATATTTGAAAATCATTTTGTAACCCCTGAAGTGGGTAATTGATTCAGGTGAAAGTTAACTGATACTGAAACTGCTCTCAGGGAGAATGGATAGTCACAGAATGTCAAATGTCACCCTAGTTATTACTTATTAAGTACCAAGGGCCATAAAGACACTTTTGCTAAGAAGAAATCTGGCAGACCCCACTTTAACTTGATGCTCAGACAGCATCAGCACTAAAGACAGAACCAGGTGTCATGGGCTACCTGCAGAACACAGCTCTGCCCACGGAGTAGTCTGGCCCGGAAGAAGCAGTCTTGAGTCTGACTGAGCCTCTGTATCCAACCACCAAATTGCAGGGAATCCAAAGGGACCAGAGTCTGTTAAATACCATCCTTGGGCTGCAAAAACCAGAAAACCAAACACCTCTAGACTCAGGCAAACTCTATAGTCAGATGAACCAGTTTCTTGAAAGATCAGTTGTGAGAAAAAAACACAAAGGAGACATGAGGAAGGACTTGAGCCGTATTGACCAATGTATGGACAGACCTTATTTGGATCCTGATACAAATACATTTGGGAGTTGAAAAAAAATGTTAATAATGATTATGAACACAGACTGTATATTTGCTGGTAACACAGGGTGAAATTACGGTATATTTACAGTTTTAAAATAATTTGGAAGGAGGGCAGTTGGGTCTGGATACAGATGGAACAAGACTAGCTGTAGATCAGTCATTGCTAGGGTGTTCACATGTGTGTTCATGACACTATTCAGTATACTTAGGAATATATTTGACATAATTAAAGATACTGCTAATTAATAGGGAATAGTTTAACATTTTGCATCTCTTAATACAAGGCATTGAGAAACATATGTCCTCTGTATAGAATTGGTGCCAGTAATATTTAACTTGAATCTATCAGAAAACAATCAGAGAAGCTCAGAATGTGTGATATTCTACAAGGCAATTTTCTTGGGTTGTCTAAAAAACGTCAGTGTTACGAAAAGCAGCAAAAAATAGTGTCATAAGAGTACCATCAAATGCAGTGAGTGATCCTTGCTTGAGTGGGTCCCTTTTGCCCTTAAAAAGTTATGAAAGACATAACTGAAAATAAGAAGAGGTATTATTGAATAAGTATTATTTTGGGTATGATTATGTTCGTGTGATTCTGTAGGAGAATGTCCTTATTCTTGGGAGATGTGTACTGAAATATTCTAGGGTGAATTGTATGGTGTCTGCAAATTACTTGAAACATATGTGGGTTAGGTTACCTCATATTAAATCACTGTTTTCCTAGGTTGGAAACATTAAGATATCAGCAGATGCCTAAGGTTCAAGCTAATGTTTGTTGAGAGAGAAAAAAAAGCAAGTGGGGGTTGCAGGTGAAGCATATACAAAAGTATATACAAAAGCATATACTATTCTTTGACCTTTCTGTGGGTTTGAACTTTTTCAACATAGTTGGGAACAAACAAGTAGTCAACATATAAAAAAGAACCCTCAGCAAATACATGTTTGTTAGATTAAGTGTGCTGGCAACATTCTTTCTGGGAATAATTGCCTGTAACAGTGTTTAATACAACTAATTCTAAACTACTTAAATTGATTCAGAATGTAGAAAAATCTTTATTTCATTGCATGAACTTTCATATGACAGAGAAAAGAAAAAATAAAGAACTATAGGTGGAAACTAAGAAGAGAGGAGCTTAGTGATAAGGAATATTACTTTTTTACATAGATGACATTTAAAGACAGATCCACTGTAGGGGAGAATGTTCTTATTTTTTGTCTAGAGATCAGAAATGTCTTTTATCTAAATATGTACGGCCTTGACATCGCTTGTAAGATAGGATATATCTCCAGAATTTGAAGAGAAGAACTCTTCTTTTCTACCCTTTCCCTGGTGGCCATGAGGGGTCAGTTGAGGCACATTTTGCTCAGTTATTGGGGTCTTAGGAGTAGCCGTGGCAGATTGACTTCATCCGATGATGAAGTCATGGGATGGTGATTCCTGCTCCTGTAGAAAATTTCCCTAAGTGATTATAACAGTCCCTGATTTTGTTCTCCTTTTTTCCAATTCAAAACAGATCCCTAAGGAAGTGGCTGATATCTTTAACGCCCCCAGTGATGATGAAGAGTTCGTTGGTTTCCGAGATGATGTTCCCATGGAAACCCTCTCATCCGAGGAGAGCTGTGATAGTTTTGACTCACTGGAGTCGGGGAAGCAGGTATGGGTGCCTCCTTCCAAGGCATGTATTTGTCTGGAAGCCTGGATCTTGGTTTGGATATTTTTTTTATATGAACGTGGTCTGAAATTGGTGGTATCAGTTAATTGTTGAGCATCTTATTTTATCATTAGTGCCTTCATGTTTCAAGAATCTGGTGAGGGTACCTTGCTCAGTTTTGCTGTTTCAATCCTTTCTGTGTACAAGATTTTTTTTCCCCAGTGAACAGGACCTCACACGATCAGATCTGCTTTCTTTGCCCCCTTGGGGCTGCAGCCTGTGGTGAGGCTGTATTGGGAGTGCTCCCACCCAGCTGGAGGGGGCAGGTGGTTCCCATAGGAGTGTGTGGTGACCGTCCGCCTCTGTGCCCCTGCGATGTGGCTCCATCTGCACCTCACTCATGGAATTGCTGGCAAAAGCGTGATTCTTCCATTAATTCCTTTGATCTGTGGTTGACATAGGTTACAGTTCTCAGAGAGGTAGATCCCTTAAGGTTTATGTTGTGATTTAGTAAGAGTGTGGCCGGAGTATGCAGCCTTCTGCGGCATTGTCTTCTGAGTTCATAACGGCACTCAGAATTCCTCATTCTGCCTCGACCATGGCCTCTCCTCCCAGGCAGTGAGTTAAATCCACCCAGCTTCTACTGGGCAGTGGTGGAAGGAGGCAGTTAATGATGTAAGTGAAGCGCCTGTGTCGTGACAGTTTGTGGGGTCCTCACCTTACTCGATGCCCTGCAGCATGTGACGCCCCTCAGCCGCCTGCTTCCACTGCCCTTGGGCTGGCTCTCTCTTCTCCACGCTCCACGGTTTCGTCTTCAGACCTTCCACTTTGGCCTGGTCTCAGCCGTTGCCTCCTGTTGTTCATGGTGTGGCTTTTCTCTCCAGCACCAGGTGTACTTCTGATAGCGCTTGGATCCATCTTCATTGTCTAAGGGAAATAGGAAACTTACCGTTTCCCCCAGCCCTGGTTGTCTGTCTTTGGCGCTTTTATCTCTGTCTTTGGAGCTCCTGACCCCTCCCACTGCTCGCCCATCTCCTCGACTCCCTCGCAGGAGTTGAATCTTCTTCCACGTTCCTCACCTCCATCCCTTCCCTCCTCTCCTCTCTTCAGCCATCGTGGTCCTCACAGCCCTTCAGCTGAGCTCTGGTCACCACCAGTTTCACAGGTGATGAAGCTGAAGCTGGGGAGGTGAGCGATGGACAAGTCCCCACATCTGGGAAGTGACTGGGCTGGGATGTCTGCTGTCTCAGAGCCCCACTTCTCAGCCCCGAGGCCTCCCCGTCTCTCACCCGCAGGCTCAGCTGCAGTAGGCGCCCCTCTGCGCGCACCGTCCTACCCCCTGACTCCCCAGGCTCCTCATCCTGCCTCTGCGCTCGCAGTGCTTTTCTGGCTTCGACCCCAGTTCAGATCCAGGTCAGACGCGTCTCAGTGGATTTTCCTACTTTCTCTGCACCATGGTGCTGTGTCTCCCTTACAATGCTGATCCTCGCCATGGGGACCTGGGGACTTGTCCACCTCCCTTACCAAGTGGTAAGCTCCGTGATGGAAGAGGCTCACACTTGAACCGACTTTCCAGCTTCCCTAGATCAGATCCTTCTCCTCTGGTTTTTCCAGTCTGTTTCTTCATGTTCCGTGAGCTTCAGGAGAGGAAAACATCACCATTCTGTTAGCTCCTCTTCTGATCTGTCATTTGCTTACGTTCTGATCATGATAGATATAGGTCACCCAGGCCCATAACATACTGCCTGGTACTGATTTTTAAAGATAACAGCCAGTTTTCGGAGAGCAGAGAGCTGTGTCAAGGTTGTAGCCAGCAACGCAGGAGGCTGTGAGGAGTGGATGTTTGCTTCGTACAGACCCTCGCTGAAGACAGGTTTCACACCCTGTGAAAGCAGGAGCCTTGGTTTAGGACTGCGGCCGAGCTGGTTTTCTTCATCAGAACTGGCCACCAAAGTCCTGACCTCGCCCTGGCTGACCACCGCCTGTGAGAGTAGCTCCCAGCACAGAAGGAGCCAGAGGGCTGTGGGTGGGAGCTGCTGTCCCCAGGCGTGACCCACTTGGGCCCGGCGGGGACGTTGGGTAGGCGGTGAGTATGCACAGGCCCCCGCAGCCCACAGGACTGTGCAGCAGCCCGGGGCTCCTGGGCCAGGTGTTTCCTGCCCTCGGGGGTGGTGGGTTTCCTTGGGAGCCCACCACAGCACCGTCCTTCCTTCATGATAAACCTGGGCCTGTGCTTCCCTGCCCCCACTGCACGGCCTCCCGGTCCCATCCGTTCTAACCCCCAAGAGAAGCCCCGTGAGCTTGCGCACAGTCCGTGCAGCGAGTTCCGACGCTGCTCTCCCGAAACACAATTTGAATTTCACTTTAAAGAAACTTCTCTTTTGTGGTGATTTTTTTTTTTTTTAAGCAGCTGCACCACAGCTATCAACAAAGGAACAAAATAGCTCAGCGCACTCACTCCAATTACCCATAATAATTCATAGGAGACATTTTTAAGCTTAAAAAAAAATGCTGGATATAGGCATTTCTTTCTGTGTCCTCCTGGAAGTTTCTTCCCCTCATCTATTATATCTATTTTTCTCCAGAGATTATCTGAGCTCGAATAAGTGTGTAATTAAAGTCAGGGAGAAGGCGGGGGGAGAGAGGCTCTCCCGCCGGGAGTGGTGTGACGAGGGGTCACTGCTATATTGGGTGTGGGAGGGAGCGACGCTAGTGGCAGCTGGGGACACAGGCTCCAGGCTTGGCTGCCGGCTTGGAGGAGGCTGGTGTATGGGTCCCCGTTCTGTCCCGAAATTCATTCTTTTCCCCTCCTTTCTTTCAAGTTTGCCACTTATTTCTGTGAGTTCAAAAGACAGAAAAAGTTCAGTGTCCTCTCTGAGCCAGCCGTGTGCCATCTTTCCTGGGGCTGACTTGCTGCCTGTGGGCGGTGGCGTCTCAGCTCCCACGAGAGCCGGGGCTTTCCGGGGGTGGGAGGGTTGGGGCTCTTCTGTCAGTCCCCTGTGGTAGTGGGTAATGGAGCCACTCTGCCCCCTCAGCGGTGGGCGGGGAGGGGTGTGGAGGCCCGTCCCTGCAGGGAAGCCTGCTCTGGGGGAAGGGGCGTCTCCCCTGGGAGGAGCCCGAAGGGTGCTGTTAGACAGGAAAGCCAGCGTGTGGGGAAGCTAGGTTTTCTCCTGTCATCTTCTCTAGCATTTTTCCCGTTCTGTGTCAAAGTGGACGTTTCTGATGGCCTGTGCTGGAGGGAGAAACTGAATTCCATCCATCCTTACTGGTCAGCCAGCTGACAGAGGCTGTGGCCATTCTGATTTTCAGAAATTGTTCAATTTGTAGGTCTAAATATCTGCAAATTCTAGAAAATACGTATATATGTGTGTGTGTGTCTGTGTGTTTATTGTGTTAAAAATATATGTAAGATTTACCATTTAACCATTTTTAAGTGCAGGTGAGTCCCCAGTGTCCTGCCTGCAAGACACTTGAGCAGCACTGAGTACCTTCACAGTGTTTCGTGGCTTCCACCATGATCTATTTCCAGAATGTTTTCATCATCTCATCATCTCAGACAGAAACTCTGTACCCATGAATCGTTCACTCGCAGTGCCCCCGGCCTCTGTTTTTCCTTTTTTCCATGACACGTATGTGTGTTTTTAATTTAGCAGGATGTGCGTTTCCATTCCAAATACTTCACAGAAGAGCTCAGAAGAATCTTTATAGAGGACACTGACTCAGAGATGGAAGATTTTGAAGGATTTACGCAGACTGATCTCAATGTTAATAGTAACCCAGAGGTAATGGGAATAATTACCCACGTGAGGGAGTGTGGGTTGTAGTATTTTTAGTCCTGTTTCTGAATTGTACTTCTACTTGTAAGAAGTCTCTTCACACATGAAAAGGTTTTACTTTTTCTTACATGTTCATCTTCTAAGCCAGTTAGCAAAATGTAAAAACTGGCTATTCCAGGGTGAATTCCTGGTCCAGTGATCCATTATGCTCTTAGGGAAAATCTAGTTCTCTTTCCGAGGTACTTTTGGAGTTTGGGGGTGCATGTCCCAGGCGTCCCTTATTGTCCTTATCGGAGAATTTAGTTCAGATGTTTTGCACCTCTTCTCTCTGAAAAGAGGAGGGTCTGTCTGAGTATAACAAGTTCCTGAAAGTCATTTCTTGTTGGGCGGTAAGCAGTGTTCTTGGGTTTGGAGTTACTTTGGCAGAAATTTAGCTGTGGTACAAACATGAGTGTTCTCTCTGTGCATTCTTGATTTGGATCACTGTAGTTTTTACTGATACAGATGCCCTGGGCCTGCCTGATTCTGAAGGGAACCCCTCAGCACATTGCCATCAAGAGACTTGTTGACTGATCTCTTCCTCTTATTCCCTATGTTCAGGCCAGTTTGTTGCCAACCAGATTTGAATGTCAGGGTAATTTTGAAGAACGGCCTTTGGATTTTAAGGCATAAGAGTGCTTTCTCCTACCTGAGAAGTAGCATACATTTAGCTCAGAAAGTCAACACACCGCTTCCTTCGGTGGTATCAAGGTCAAGGATAGGGAGGTTAAGGCTTGTCATGTTAAGGGGTTCCCAGGGAACCACTCCCGCGTGGAACCTGTGCAGATGGTCAGATACGCTGTACTCGGTAGGTTGGTTTTGTCCTTCATCTTTGCCCGGGGGCCTTTACGGCCTGAAAGCCCTAATGGTAGGCTGCCTTGCTTGATGATGGTTTTTTCCCGTGAATAGCAGCACGGAGTGTGCCCGCCTGTAGGCCCCAGCCCCTGCCCCTGCTTTCTTTACAGAAGTTACGTGTGTTCTGGCCAGCAAGTCTGCAGTTCCTTGCCAGCAAGACACTGAGGTCCTTCCAGATCTTAATCATCTACTCTTAGTGACGTATTTATCTTCTGGTCTTCAGCAAAGTAATGTCAGGGTGTTCAAAGAAGTTGTTTCCAGCATGGGAAAGCGAAAGTCCATTTTTTTTCTCTCTCCCCTCTCCAGAACCTATACATTTAGGGGATGAATTGTGAGAGTTTGTGTTGACTCTGATATAACTCATAGCTCAGGGCAGGTCCACCTGCCTATTTTAAAATTCAGTGAGAAAACAGGCATTGTTGCCTCCCTGCCCAGCCTCCTTCCCACCCTGGCGTGGAGTGGTGAGACCACCTTTTTGATGACAGGGTGTGACTCTGCGTTGGTGTCTGGGGGCCCGCTGGCCACACGCGACCCCTCCACAGCTGTGGCGTCGGCCCTCAGGCCTGAGTCTCGGCTGGTGTTCACTGTGCTCTTTCCCTGCCTCGGTACTTTGTAGTAACGGGCTCCACGTCCTTGGCAGAGAGGTGGAGGTGGGTTAAGTGACGATTACGATAAATGGATAAAGCCAGTTGGGGAGACACTTCTCTGAGGTCGTCTAACAGTGTCTTCACCCAGCCCACCATTCTCAATTCCATAGCTGCTATGTGGAAACTGCAGGATATGAAACATCGTAATCTTACGCCTGCTTGGTGTGTTGTGCATTGATACACACCAAGGTTTGGATGGCATCTTTTTTTTCCCCTCCTGTGACCTTGTATTTTAACTTGAGTCCAGCTGGAATGTGGAGTGGGGTTGGGCACTGAGGAGGAAGCGAGGCATGAACTGAATCCCGGGCCTCCTCCTGGTGGTGTTCTCGAGTTCTCTTCACAACAGGAACCCCTGACAGGGCTTCCCCAAGCTACAGTGTCCAGCCTGTGGTCAAGGAAAGATGCTCAGGCCATGACCTGGGTCTTAATATCAAAACCCATCTCTGCAGTTGTTGAGTCTTTTGCGTCTGAGATGTCACCTTGCCTTCCATTCTTACTGTGTTTTCCCGAGTAAAACCAAGTTATGTTTTAATATGGGAGAGCTGCACTGAGCGGAGATTGAAATTGGGACTGCAGATTCCTGAAGTTGACTGGGCAGATGCCTGCAGCTGCCTGCTCTGCAGAGCGGTCTGCCCGATTGCACCCCTTGGCTCTGTGGGTTACAGAAAGGGGAGGGGTTGCCCTAGAAAGAGGACCCAGCGTGTCCTGGGGACGCGGTTCCCCCGCTGCCCCCGATGGTGGATTATCTGCCTGCTCCTTGGTCACGTCTCGAAAATGAAGTCAGCTCTTCTCCTTTGTTTCTCTTTTTCATGAATCTTCTTGCAGCTACTTAGGGCAGAATGATACTTTGTTTTTCACTTAGCACTCTTACTCTGTCTGAACACACCGCTTAGGTCATGCACACCCTGTTCTTTGACTGTTCCCACATTGCTGGGCTCCCAGATTGCCCACTCAGCGGGTCAGCACTTTGCTTCCAGCCTGATGCTCTGAACGGCACACAGCCAGCGTGCGTGTCTGGGCCACAGTGTGAAGTAGCCTGCTATTTGATTTTGTCCATCAACAAACTACTTACGCATTTAACTGAAGAGTTCAGAGGGAATGACCAATAGGAAGGGGAAGCACTCAAGTGTCCAGTGTTTTCCTGAAATAGAGTGGTTTTAAGTGTGTGTCTTTGTGAAGACTTGTCATAGACACTTTGTTCTTTCTCATTTTCATTAGCTTGTGGAGTCAGATTTGAGTGATGACAGTACAGCATCTTTCGTGAGTGGGGAAGATGATGATGATGAAGAAAAGGCGACACCTCGAAGAAGCAGGCCTAGAAGAAGCAGTATTGGTCTTCGAGTAGCCTTTCAGTTCCCCACCAAGAAACTGGCAAAAAAAGCTGATAAGAACGGTTCTTCCGAGCCCCTGTTTTCTGGGTCATGTTTACAGGACAATAAAAAAGCGATTCTTGGAAGGAAGACCAGCTGCAGGCAGGAGAAGGAAAGGGAAGACTCTGCCTCTGAGTCTGAGGACGACTCCCGGGATGAGGGCCAGGAGAGCTCGGATGCTCTGCTGAAGAGGACCATGAACATCAAGGAGAACAAAGCCATGGTGAGTCTGCGTCCTGGCTGCCGCTGCCGGGCTCCTGGGGCATCACCCCCCACAGCTGCCACCGCTTCTGGGTTTTGTGGGTTCTCCCTCTTTTCCTGGACTTGCAGCAGTTTGCCTGATTAGCTCTGGTTTGGGAAGAGACTCCTAGGACCTTCCATGGTGCCCTGGTCTCACACCAGTTACTGTTGATCAAATTATGTTGCAAATGTGCAGTGGTTTAGAGACAAAAAAGGCCTGTTCCCAGCAAAAGGTAGCAACATGTAAATAGGGGTGTCCTGAAGCCCACAGAACAGTTCCTTGTGCAGGTCAGGCAGGCAGCTTTCAGCCTAGCTGTTGCACTTTGGAGATATCAGGGGAGAAATGAAAGGGGTCTAGGTATTAAAACACCTGAGGAGTTCTGAATCACTTTGTAAATTCATGGAACAAAGTGAAATCTTCATGTGGTCAGTAACTAGTTTGCTTCATAACTTTATGTATACAGAATTTTAAAAATAATTCTACAAAACACTTTTAGTATTTTGGTATACTTATTATTTTCTTTTAAAAAAGCATAATGATGCTGTATAAGCAGTTTTAGAATATGTCTAATAAGTTACTTAAGGAAATACAAAATTTAATATAAATTTTACTTTTGGGTAAAGTTTATCTAGAGACATAGTAGTGTTTAGCTAAGGAAAAGTTTTAGGATTGTATCTCTGCATCTTTAAAATGAGAACTATGTTCTTCACAATTTTGTTAGTGACACCCATACATCTGTTTGATTGGCATTTAATGCCTGTTGTTTTGGTATTTTTAGGAGTATTTTCATAAATTACTTTCATTGATGAGAAATTAACCAGCTTGAAGAATCAGTTTTTTAGAGGTCTCAGTAACTGTCAGAATGGTCTAGTTGGGCATTTTCTGTTTTGAACATGATGAAACTTCATTTGGGTGGGCAAAGTGGTAGCTTCCAGGGTCACACTGGGAATTAGTGGCTCAGTCCTGATTCTAACCTTATGCTCCAGGCCTTGATCCTTCCAGGATAGTTTTCATCGTGTCTGGTCCTTATATATAAGGAACAGACATAGATTTTATTCCTCTGATGATTTCAGCATCTCACCCTGGAGATAAAAATCTTCACACGAGGTTAAAAATATAACACCTCTTCAGATCATATGTAAACTACTCCGGATAACCTGTTAGATGAAGTAGACTTAGTAATATTTATGCAAGACTCTATTTTTTCTGAATTTAGCTTGCTCAGTTATTGGCGGAATTGAACTCGATGCCTGATTTCTTCCCGGTCCGAACCCCAAACTCAGCTTCTGTAAGTGGATCTCGATCTCCTTGTATGTACTGTCTCCAGTATTCACACACACACACACACTCCATGGCCAGATGGCCTTCATTCTGGAAAGCAGCCACTTGCATGCTTGTGTCTGTGCTCTCCTTGCAGAAGAAGAAGACCGCGAGGCGGGCCTTCTCAGAGGGACAGGTCACGCGGCGGACCAACCCGGCCCGGAGTGCGCGGCCCCCCGAGAAGTTCGCCCTGGAAAACTTCACCGTGTCAGCTGCCAAGTTCGCAGAAGAGTTTTACGGTTTCAGAAGAAGGAAGACCGTTAGTGGGGTATGTTATGACTATAATGAACCAATGCTTCTTTGTCTAAGCCAGTGGTCCTCATGCAGGAGCGTTCATCACGGTCTTCTGGGGCTTGGTGAGGGCGCCGAGGGGCTGACTCGGTAGGTCTGTGGGAGCTGAGATGGCCAAGCTCCCAGCTGCCCCGGGTGCTCCTGTGAGCACACTTGGGTAAGGACCCTGGGTTTGAGCTTGCACTTGCTCTCAGCTCTAAGCCATTTAGGCTGTCCTGTGCCTAAACTGACCAGCTCAGTGGTTAGGACCCCAGGTTCACCTCCAGTGGAGGTGATAACGGCTCCGGGTGGCTTCAAGGTTTTGGTTTTGGGAACGTACAGGATGACTCCGTTTTTCTGTGTTAGGAATGGGGAGTTTTGAGAGCTTTCTGTCTGGAACAAGAAACTGTGGACCCTGTTTGTGGCTGTTCAGTGTGGGTCAGTCCTCAGAGTTTATAGCTGCTGGCCATCCATTGGGCAGGGACCCTGAGTTTCTGATTGGTCATCCTGTGTCACCTTGCCATCCAGGAAGCTTGGCACTAAGGATAGGAGCTCAGCAAATGACTAAATGCACAAATGATTTCAGGGAGGTAAAAGAGGGACCGAGTTACTGTCTCTGGTCCTAGAGCTCTGAGGAGTTTAAAGCTTATTGGTTTTTTTTTTTAACCACTGAAAGCATCTAATGTCCAGTTCTGCTTTGGCTCTTTCTGCAGGGGAAATGCCAGGGGCACCGCCGACGCCGCTGTGTGTCTTCGTTTCGGCCAGTGGAGGACATCACTGAAGAGGACTTGGAGAACGTGGCCATCACTGTGCGGGATAAGATCTATGATAAAGTTCTGGTAAAGTAATCTTAACAGCTGGTTCACATCACTGTGGCTCTTACAGGGGCTCCCAGACACTGGTATCTGAACTGCCTGCTTGGAAACTGTCTGGGCTTAGGCCCTTGTGCCATCTGTCTCCCCAGGGCTCGGAGGTGGGCTCTGAACTGGAGCAGCTTTATCTGGGCAAGCAGAGATGGCTTAGTGCAGTAATTCTCGTCAGGAGAGAGGTCTCTTGGGCGGGGGCGGGGGGGTAGCAAGCAGGGTATAATCTGGAAAATCACATTTGTAATTGTTATATTTTAGTAGGTAGGAAATGTTTTAAATGTTTGTTAAATGGTAATGTAGAGAATGGCTTGTAGTATTTTGCATCATTTTTAGATAATGGGACAGTGTCTTAAACAGCATTAAAAGGTTTTCAATGTAATTGCCAACATTTTAAAACCAGGAGGTCTTACCCTGAATGGAACCAGATTGCTGGGAGCTGGGCTGGAGCTGTGTGATGCTCCGGGGGTCTGCCATCATCACCCAGTCACCCCCATCATTTCTGCCCACCTGATCATTTCGTTTCTCCCAGGCTCCCTACTCGGGCTGTCCTCCAGATTCTCTGGCCCCCGGGCTGAGTGCTCACAGCCTACCGGAGGGCGCCAGGGTTTGGACCAGAGACACAGCCACGCTCGATTCTGGAGGAGAGGCCGGGCACGCCCCTCTGCACCCCATGCTCACCACTCGCTGCCTTCGCCCACAGGGTAACACTTGCCATCAGTGTCGGCAGAAGACCATCGACACCAAGACGGTGTGTCGGAACCAGAGCTGCGGGGGCGTGCGGGGGCAGTTCTGCGGGCCGTGCCTGCGGAATCGCTACGGGGAGGACGTGAGGTCGGCGCTGCTGGACCCGGTAGGGACCGTGTGCGCCTTCGTCCTGAGTCACGGCGTGAAGGGAACGAGCTGACGCCGGGGCTCTGGGGCCCTTTATCAGGGACCTGTAGCCCCCTTGCCACTCTCTTCTCCTCCTGCCTCTTGAGACTGGCAGAAATGCAAAAGAGACTTTCCTTCTAGAAAGAACAGGCTGACCAACATACAGGACAGTAAAAGAGTGAGTTTCATCTTCCAGGGTCAGAGCCCAGCTTTCTTAGAGTCACGGTTTGTACAGGTGAACCTGTGCCCTTTTGTCGGGCACTGTCACCTTGGATTTACCCAGGGCCAGGCTGGGGGCAGGTGTATTGCCCTGTAGGGTGCAGTGTGCCCTTGACTCTGGGCATCTGGCTGCAGGGTCTGTGCTCATAACCACTGCACTGCTGGACCAGGGTAAGTAGACTGTCCCCAGTTTGCAGCTGAATGTGAACTGCTGCTCCGAATAAGTGAGCTGAGAAAGCCTGTACTCTGAAAAGCAGGGCTGACTTCCCAGGCATGTGATCGGAGTGGTCCACCTTTCTGTGCCTTTTTGAAACAGGCAAAAGGAAGGAGACAGTAGTGCATGTCACAGGGTGAAGGATTAGCTGACTGATCTCACGTGACTAAGGACTGGGGATGAGGATGAGCGAGCCGGGCTTGGTCAGGGCGGCGTCTTGTCCTGTCACTAACGGGGCATCACGGCCTCTCTGCTCTCCCAGGACTGGGTGTGCCCTCCCTGCCGGGGCATTTGCAACTGCAGTTACTGCCGGAAACGCGATGGCCGCTGTGCCACAGGCATCCTCATTCACCTGGCCAAGTTCTACGGTTACAACAACGTGAAGGAGTACCTGGAGAGGTAAGCCTCACAAATCAGAACGGAGGGTGTGATTACTGGGGGCGGGAGAGGGGAAGACTGTCTAGGTGGGCCCCGGGGTGCCTCATCTCAGCCTGACTCTTAGAAGCCACCTCGCGTGTCAGCTCTGCTGGGTCTGTGTGTGTCGGGAATAACAATGGAGTCTACAAGGCAGGGAGGGAAAACCGTGAAGGCCAAAGAGCTCTTCTAACCCTTTGGGACAGAGGAGAGGCTTGGGTGCTGTGTGCTGAGCCTCCCTGCAGTGACCGGAGTGAAGACTGACCTTGTGTCGGGAGAGCAGTTTGGGTGTGGTGCCCTGGGGGATGCTGCTGTCTCTCTGCCCCTAATGCTTCCTGTTTCTTCTCAGCTTACAAAAGCAGCTGGTGGAAGACAATTAGGAGACGAACCAGCCCGCTCACCATGGAGCACTCGAACAAGACATGCCATTTGTGCCTAAGATTTCTTACGGTTGTGTTTTTTTTATACAGAAATTCTTTGTAGAGCTAAATGCTATATATTTTTTTTTTTAAAGATTGTTTTTATATGCTTCAAAAGATTTCTCAGGAAGATAGGAGAGGAATCTGTATATACGCAGGCCTGTTTGTATGTTGAGTTATTAAAAGCATCTGCAGATAATTAAAAACCACAGTTTAAAGGAGTGAAGTTTCCAGGTAAGTCCTGGAGGAAACATAGCATTGCAGCTCTTTATTTCCCAGACAGTAACTGGAGGCCAGGTCGTTACAGGGGTTCCACCCCCTTTAGTTTATCATGAGTGACCATAGTTCAAACCCCATAGTCTAAGCTGCTCTGGGTTGTTGGACATTTATATTGAAGAATGCTCCTCTAAATTACAAAGTGCAATTAACCATGGACCTAGAATTTTATTTTTGTTAAAACTTGAACCAAAAGTAGACTGTCACATTACCGACACTGGAGGCCTTAGAGGGCGGCTGCCTGGGGCCCATGGCTTCTATATTTTAAAAGAATATATAAAGGCAAATTTAATTTAGAGATTTTGTTTAATATCTATAGAAACTACACTCCCATGTAGGGACCAGGAGACTTCCAGCCATATTGCTTTTTGAGTTACAGCGGAATTTTGATGAAAACGTGAGCTGCACTGATTTTGTGTTGCAGGATGGGGGAGTCGAGGGGTACTGGGGAAATGGACACATTTTCAATAGGTTTCCCGTATTTTTCTACATTTGCTTTTTGTCCCCCCTTCTCTACAAGGATGGTGTTTTAAAAAATTAATGCACACTTAATTTTCTTAAAAGTTACATAAGCCAGAATATGTTATGCCTCCCAGTAGGATAAATTACCAAGCCTGGGGGAACAGGGCAAGGGCTGCCTTACGCCTCCAGCAGCAGAGCCACGCCTGCCAGGACCCACTTGGCCGTCCTGTCGTTGCTCTTTAGCCTGAAGGTCCAGACGTAGTGGGGGCCTCGCCTTCTGGTTTTGTACACAGGGCACTCGTAGGTGTGTCGGGTTTCCTGTCTGTCCACTGGTATGGCTTTTGCAAAGATGACTGGCATTGCGAACCTTAACTCCTTGAGGCGGGCATCCACAATGGTTCCTGACTGGCTGTCCCATCTGGCTCCTGCAGGAGAGACATGGGTTACAACCATGCTCCTGTTGGTACCGCTTCTCTACGTGTTGTAGGCAATAAATATTCTGGTTTTGTCACTTTGCTGCGTGTCAGTGGCTTCCTTGCCAAGATGGGAGGGAGGTTCATTACTTGCTGACTGGGAGCCACACAGACACTGTAAGCATAGACTCATGTTCCTGTGCTAACCCCTGAACTTTCCTGTGAACAAAAAAACTAAATCATTTGAATTCAGAAGGTTTGTAAAACTTACATGAAAACAGGTTCTGTGAGACTCCAGACCCAATAAAGCAAGTTAGTTAGTCTCTTTCTTTTAAAAAAAATGGTGAATCTGCATGCTTGTGGACAGTGTAAGAAATCTGCAGTTCACCATGTTCCCTTCCCACTGTACCTTCTCTTAGTTCAAGTTCAGGTCACCTGTTTAAATGTCTGTAAAGTGACAAGGAGCATCTTGGCAGAGACTTGGAAATACTTTCTCCAAGAGCCTTCCAGGAGAAGAGGAAATGTTTTATAAGATGAATGCATGGGTGAGTGGAAAATGTTCCATCTTTACCTTCAGATTTGGCTCCCACTGGACACACATCTTACCATTTTAATTATCTGAAAGCCAGAAGTGAGGTAAATAAGCACTAGTGTGAGTGAGAAATGGAGTAGTGTGGTGTGTTAGTTGCTCAGTTGTGTCCGACTGCGACCCCCTGGGCTGTAGCCTGCCAGGCTTAATAAGCAAAGGACAAATACCAACTTGAACCCAAGTGCGAAAGGTTCTAAGTGTGATAACCCTGCATGTGCTCCTAGGGGCATCTTACCTTCCATGAGGAGCCCGTGGAGGTAAGCGCCTTCCCTGGGGGGATGCCCGTAGTCCTCCTTTGTTTTTTTGGTAATGTCAACAGTCAGGCACATTTTGTCCAGTGGCCACTCATTCTTTCGAGCCGTGGCCTGCATGATCGCTTTTGGAGGAGGAGGGACAGGTGTGAGCAGGAGGAAGCCACACACCTAAGATTCTCTGGAGCCACCAGTGAGCCGAGCATCCACCCAAAGCGAGCTCTGGTCCCATGGGGTGTTCGGGACATTACCTGCCTGGCTGCACTAAGAGCAGGGGTGGGAACGAAAGCCAGACCATCTCCCTGGTCTTGGGGATGGTGCTTTAGCAGAACAGCCATGCCCGAGTGCCGCTGGCTGGTTGCTTTGGCTTTTGCACCAACTCCCGTGGCCGAGCACAGCTGCGTGAGACTGTGGGCCCTGATGGAGGACGGGTACTGCGTGACCCACATCCACCCGCCTGGCTGCTCCTGTCCTGCCTGGGCAGTGGGCACCAGAGCAGGGGAACAGCTCCAGGGACACAAGGCTGGGGTTCCGCTCGGGGCACGGCTACGTCAGCATCAGGGGCTGCCCCACATACCAGCTCTTACCCGTTAAGAAGGACTGAGGGTTGAAGAAGCCAGAAAGCCACACCACAGCCGGAAGGGCGAGATCTTGTGTCCAGGAGTCCAGTTCCCGGCATCGCAGGAGGAGGTCGTTAAACCTGGGGAGTAGAAGGTAGGAAGAAACAAACCCGCTTTCAGTACTAAAGCTTTCCAGTAAGATTAGATTATGGGGATGAGGGGGTGCTAAAGGGGTGGTAGAGAGGTCCAGAATCTGGTAACCTGTGAAACTGTTACCTGATGACCAGGTAACAGAATCGTCTGTCCCCTTAAAGTGTTAGAAACACTGGCAAGTGTGGAAAACTCTATTTACTCAACCACTGTTTCACTTAGATCCTCCAGATGACCCCCCCCCCCCCAGTGACATGTGGTGACGCTCCATGGTAGCCGTATATGATCTGGGCTGGCGGGGTGCACAGGGCAGCATCCCTGTGTGTCTGAGGATGGGCAGGGGAAGGCTCTGCTGATGGCTGCACAACCAGAGTTCCCAGGAACGGCAGGGGTAGTAGAACATGTGATAGTGGCCTCCACACAAGCAGTAATTACCTGAAAGTAGGGAAGGAACAGTTATCAAGGGGACCAACCACCTTCCATCCATCGTGAGCCTGTAGTTTGAGAAACTGCTGTTTACACAACATGGCCTCTCATTCCATCAGCACAACAGTTACCCTAGGGAGGGAGCATCTAAAACCTCCCTGTGAGGAAACCAGCTCACAGAGGCTAAGGAAAAGTGAACTTCCATAAAATCAGGAGAAGCCTTGATAGGTAGGTTTTAAAGGGCTGCTGAAAACGGGGGAGATGGAGCACAGAGCAGAAAGCCCAGCCTAAATGCCTGGGGGACAGTTCTCCAGGGTGAGGTCTCTCCCAGCCAGCATGGCCGTGTCCTGGGCCCTACGGCAGCAGGCTGAATGAGGACCTCGTGCCCACAGACCACCACCTGGAAGAAAGGGTAAATGCTCACACTTGAACTTGGCTCACAAAGACAATTCCTACCAGCTTGGCTCTGGGCCCTGCCCCATATTAAATTTTTCCAAATAGCTGGTTTAGGGAAAACATACTTGTAGATAGATGCCACAAAGAAGAAAGGCAAGGAACAGGAAAATCAAAGATAAGAGAAAGAAAAAAAAAAGCTTGAGATGTGAAAGAGGATAAACACTGCAGCAACCAGTTTTTCTAATGAAGTGCATATGTAACAAGAATATGAGTTAAAACTGGTAAGGTAAGAAAAAGTGAGGCAATTAAGGTGGAAAAAAATCTGAAAAAGACAGTTATAGAAATGAAAGCAAAAAGTTAAACAGCATAAGGCAGAATAATAAGGAAAGCAAAATGAAATATAAATGAGTTAGAGTTGGAGTGAAAATAAGATGAATGCTGAAACATTTGCTAATATAATTCTAGAAAATTTGAGTTTTCTTAAGTTACAAATTTGAATCATCATAATCAGGGACATATGTTGTAAGAAAATGTGACACATAATACTAAGATACAGACTGTGGAGGTAGAGAATCCCCTGGAAAGCCAGGAAAAAACATGAAGTCTTTTTACAAAGGGAAAAAAATTTATGTTAGCTTCAGGCAGCATTTGATCATAGAATAACGCCTATGAAGTCCTCTGACAACGAATGGGTTAAATTACCTTTATAATCAACCAAACTGTAACTTGAGTCTAAAGACAACTGATTATATGGCATGAAAAACCACCCACAAATCCAATCAAACAGAAGGAAGGGAACCCAAAAATCAAGAAGAGGAATGTTAAAAATCAAGACTTTTAATATGTATGTTAAAACTTTAGAAAACTAGGTCAAGTGCTTTTCCCTCCCTTCAAAATATGCAACGTGAAACCAAAAATTGATTTTGGACAGTGATTTTTTTTTTAAATATTTTTTTAATCCAGGGGAGAAACAGTAGACAAGAGAATAGGAGACAAAGATACAATGACGATCAGCCAGAAATAACAGCCGACCAGAACACAGACACACACAGACTGACAGAGGGCAGTCCAGGCAGGCGAAGATAAGGCACTATTTGAGGAAAGAAGGGCTAAGAAATAGAGACAGATGACGTAGAGAAAAAACGTGGACGCCAAGGATGGTGTGTATGACGTGTACACTACTATGTATGAAGTAGACGGCTGGTGAGAGCCTACTGTATAGCATGGAGGCAGATGCAATCTGTGGGACATGCATTAACCTTAAAAACGCATTCCAATACGTATCTGGTGCAGACGAATACTGTTTGATTCTGCCTATTACCAGGTACCTAGTAACAGTCAAATCCACAGAGTCAGAAAGTACACTGGTAGACGGGGGGGTGGGGATGGGGACATAGAGATTCAGTTTAGGAAGGTGATGAATGATGGTGAGAGATGCACAGCAATGTGTATGTACTGTCACTGAAATGTACAGTTAAATATGGTTAATATAGTCTGTTTTGTATTACATGACTTGCCACAATAATTTCTTTTTTCAAAAAAGCAGGGCTAAGAATTTTAAAGGGTGGAAAGAATTGTGGACTCAGATTTATAACATCACACGGTATCAAGTAGGATGCCTTTTTAAGAGACCACACCTAAACACATCGGTAAAAATGACAGAACATTAATACATTGAGTTAAGAAAAAAAAACTTAAAAAACTTCCCAAAGAGAGTAACTTAGATGTAGAGGAATGACAAGTATTTATGCACAGACTCACCAGCCATAGTCAGTGCCAGAAGACAACACAGTTACAGAACACTGACATTTGGAGGGAGAATAATCATCAAGAGTGAGGGTGGCAGAGAGAATTCAGACGCGTACGCTCTCCCCCCCGCCACACACCCTGAAGGCCCGCTGTGTGCCTCGTCCTTTGGCACAGTGAAGAGGGGACCCCTACTGCTGCTCTGCCGTGGTTTCAGTGATGAGTGGCATCTCTGCCGTCTGCAGCTGAAGGTTCCAGAGACAGTCTGACTGAAGTCAAGCTTATTCAGCAGCTCAGAGGACCTCAGCCCCGTTTCCCCTTCCCGCCTCCTGCAGTGCTGACCGCATGGCCCCAGTGTGGCCACTGCGTCCTGAGCTTACGCCAACTGGAAAGGGGCTCACTTTTACTTTAGGATTAAAAATAAATGGGACCCCATGCGAAAGATGTAAAAGGTGAGGAAGGAAAACAAGCAGAAATACCTAAAGTTTTGCAAACACGATCTCTCAGGAATACCTCTTTGGGGACGAGACTCCAGCAGGGCAGTTCTTACTGTGTCTGTAGTGACGGCAGGGTCTCCGGATATGCCCTTTGTGGGGATGGGAACAAATAGGTGGCTGGGCTTTCCAGTTAGTCATCTGACATTATTTTCGAATGTGTGTAGTAGCTGAATTATGACAACTCTTTACAGGTGATGTGGGTAAGATATAATGTTACAAACTTCTAACATTTTTCTGAATGGTCTATATTCCATACCACTGCAGTTTTACAACCGAATTTTCTCAAACATATGTCAAACTTAGCCACAGGCCATTTTTTTGCAGATGACTTTACTCTGTCAAAGTATCCTAAACAGATCCCCAAGGGACAGTCTGTCAGTAGCAAAAGTAAGTCTTGAAAGGTATTTTTGCCTTTATAGAATCTCATGACACAAGCTTGAATGGTTTTTCCTGTATTTTTCATGTTTACAAATTAGCTATAAACCACTTCTATCAAAGAATTAAAACTTGGATTGTCTTGGGATAAACATGTCAGTTGTCTGTAGAGATGTTAGTAGTAGCTCTTCCTAAGTCATAAGGATTAGGAGTGTTTATTTGAAAATTAAAGCACTGGAAAAAAGCAGCAAAGAAATCGACATATGCTATTAAGTGGAAATAATTCCTGACCATAAACAAAAATAAAATTATGGTGGTTTAAAATAAAGTTTAACTATAATTCCAGACTGGAAGGGAGGGTAAAATGGCGGAAGAAAAAAGTATTGGTGTTACAGTGCATTAGAAAAATCAAGTGTGTATGTTACAATGTCAAGTCTTCCTGAAATAATAGAAATGGTACAAGGATACACATATGATAAACTCACAGAAGCTAGAAGAGTTTGGAAAAAAGAGGCTAAGAAAAATTTATAGAAATTAGGAATCAAAAGATAAGATTGGTGGAAATAAGTCTAAAGTTATCACTGTCATGAAATTTAAGTGCAAATGTAAATTCTTTTTGACTGGAAGTATAAAGTCTGCCTTTAGATATTCAAAGCATTAACAGAAACCCATGACTCTGCCACAATGCTTTCCTGTCATCCGGCAGGTCCACAGGGCACCTTGCGCTGTGTTCCAATGTGCAGCCACTGGGAGTTCTAACAGGGCATTCTAATTCAAGGATTGGAGTAGCATTCTGGTTAATGCAAGAAAAACTTAGGAATGTGAGGACAACAAATGTCCACGTGAAAAAAACCAGGCATAGAGACAGCCTCATGAAACTTGCTGTGCTAACTCGAAAGGCCCAGCTGTGCTTGGCACCAGCCCTCAGGGAGCTGTAAATTTCTGCCCCTGACTCGGTGGCATGTCTACCCACAGCGAAGGCAGCGTTATCTACTGCTTACTGGGGTAAAAGTTCACTGTGAAATGCCATTAGTTACCACTGGCTTCAAAAATAAGGGTATAAGATGTGGTGAGGGTAAGCTTAAGGGTGCCTCCCCCAGCCATTTAAATTCTAACAGCTCAATGAGGAAATTTTTGATCACTTTTCAGATGATAAACTGAAACAGAGAGGTCAGGTATTTTGTGCAGGATCAGACAGCCACTCAATGAGAAGCAGTATTCGATTCCTGCTATGACCCTAACTTGATTTTTGCCTTTGAAGCAACTTACCGAAGAAACTCAAATGAAACTGGTGGTGGTGTGCAGTTACGGCTGAATGTACTCAGCAGAGCACAATCTTTAGGGTTCCTATGAGGCCTGATTCAGAAAACCAAACCAGCGCCGAGCTAGGGTGTGGTGCTTACCACTGGGCCAGGCCGTACGTGGATGGATAAGCCAGTTTGCTCCAGGTTTCTGGTACCACATCGTAACTCAGTGCAGACTGCTGGGCTTCCATGTCAGGAGATAGTGTCAGCTCCCCCTGGCAGGGAAGAAGAAGACTGCAGAGTAAAGATGTTTTCATGTGGAGAAGCCTGCTCTAGTTCCGCTTTTAAACTTACCTTCAATCCAAGCTCTAACTGTTGGAGTGACACACGGATTTCCCGAAGGAGAGTGTTCATCCGCTCACATTCTTGTAGGCAAACAAGGGCATAGGGGCTTCTGTTTGGGTGTTTTTGCATTATCTCTGTCATGTTGAACTCTTCTGGAAGTTTGTCCAAAATGTCATCCAAGACATTCTTAACCTTAAATTGTGAACAAACACAAAGATTTAGCTCCTTTTCTGTTTCATTTTCGATCATGGTGACAGTATATCCACTTATTTTTTTTACATCTAAGAATATATACTACAACTCCCAAAGATGCTTGCTAATGAGTTTAAAAGATGACTACCAACTCCCAGGAGCTGGGCAGAATGGCACAGCCAATGAAACCACATACAGCCCCCTGTGTCCTTGTTTTCTGAAGTAAAATACTGACTCAAGAGCTGATGGTTGGGAAACGTGAACAAATAATAGCTGTTGGACTGGGAAAGTGCTAACAGTTTAGACTATAAATCCGCCACATGGCAGAATCACTGAATTCACAGCTCCCTGAAAGTTATGGATAAAGGCCTGACATATATTCCTAAGTTGTTTTTCTAGGAAGCAGACGCCCCCTGCCCCAGAAGACAACTACTGACCACAAAAACACAGACCCCAGGCTGGTTGAAACCAGAAGGTTGATGATGCTTGAAACTCCACCTGATGCCAACCGATCAGAATTGTCCACAAGCTGATTGTGCCCTGCTCTGTGAACACTGTAAGACTCCTCTCCCATCCAGGAGGGACACACAGACTTGAGGGCATCACCCTGCTGTGGCCCCCTTTGCCTGGCAAAGCAGTAAAAGCTGCTCTTTTCTACATCACCCAAACCTCTGTCTCTGCATTTCTATTCAGCACCACCACCAACCCCCTCAGCTCACTCTCAACCAATGCAGCCCCCTCCCTTCTTGAACTCCCACAGTATAGTCAGGGAGGTGTTACTATTTACAGTTTACTTACTGTTAGCATTGAGGGAACAAAAGAAGTCTCATAACTACATTTCATTTGTTTATAAAGACATGATCAGAACATGGAGAACCTCAATATTTGGGTAGTCCGTTTTTGCAATCCACTAATTAAAACAAATTATTTGAAAAGTCAAACGAACCAAAGAGGCCACTTAAACTTGAGCTAATTCTGGTGACTCTGCTATGCTGCCCTTGCAGCTGACACATCTAAAAATTTGGGAGGCAGTTTGGATCGGTTATTTTCAACAAGAAGGAAGCCCCTATCTTCTAGAGCTGTTGCCCTAAAGAAATGAAGGATTTATTCACTTGAGGATGAGCATATGTACATAGTACTCTGATGTGGATAATTATTCTAACAATGCAGTTTTGCAGACCTGGGAAAACCAACGAACACCTGAAAATGACAAAAGACTGGAAGATACTCCCTGTCCTCAAGCCTCAGGCAGCTTTTCCCTCTCCTTGATTTCTTGGATTATGGCCTGGGGCTCTGATGAGATGCTTGCAAATTGCTTTAGTGCCCTGGCAGATAATTTATCAGATCCTGAAATCTTGAGTTCATTTACAGCAGCAGTAGAGAGTATGAAACAGTACAGTTGAGAAGTTAGGTGAAAGAATAATGGCTTTGGGACTCAGCTAGAATCTGGTTTCCTTCAGTGGCCCTTTCAAGCTGTGTGACCACGGTGAGTCACCTAAGTTTCTCTCCGAAATAGAGATCCTGGTATCAGTACTGATGCTCAGTGCTTCCCAGGTGGCTCAGTGGTAAAGAATCCACCAGCCAATGTAGGAGACACAGGTTTGATCCCTCGGTCAAGAAGATCCCCTGGAGAAGGAAATCGCAACCTCTCCAGTATTTTACCTGGGAAATCCCATGGACAGAGGGGCCTGGTGGGCTATAGTCCACGGGGTTGCAGAGAGTTGGACACGGCAGTAGATGATCAAATGGCATATCTGTAAAGCACTTTCCATAGCACCTATTAGATAAACAAAAACTGTACCTGGGAGAGGGCTGCTGGTTTGCTGGTAGGAAATGCTGAGGTAGCTTTACCTTATTTGTTCTGCATTTTTTTTTTTAATTTAATGACCAGCTTCCTTATTGGAAAGATTGAAGCCCTCTCAGAACTAAATGATGACCTCACACGCTCTCTGCTGTTAACACTGTGTGTGCATGCTAAGTCACGAAAGTCGTGTCCAACTCTTTGTGACCCAATGGACTGTAGCCCGCCAAGCTCCTCTGATGATGGGAATTCTCCAGGCAAGAATACTGGAGTGGGTTGCCATGCTCTCCTCCAAAGGATCTCCCCAATCCAGGGATCAAACCGTATCTCTAACGTCTCTTGCATTGGTGGGCGGATTCTTTACCACTGAGCCACCTGGGAAGTCCCTGTTAACATTGTAGATCGTCCCAAATAGATGAATTTTTCCCATGCATCTCTTTTCAAAATATCTAAATTATAAAATGTCTCAATGAATGGGCTTATTTCAAGAAATAGCTGAAAAATTTCAAGAAATAATATGGCAAGTTCCTGGGACCTCTCTATAATTAGATCTGATGTTTACTGTGTTCCCACAAACTTAATCCTTAATTGGTAATTTTTGAAAGAAAAAAGGTTAATTTACTGGGGAAAAATTTTAAAAATTCAGGTTTTTAGTTAATGAGAAACAAGATTTTAAAGGTAAAAAAGTTATCTGATGTCCATTTCTCATCCCCATCATTCTACAGCAATAAATTCCTTCAAAAGAATAATGCTAGCCTCCCAAGAAAAGGTGAAAAAAGACACTCATAAAATGACAGAGCCAAAAACATACTGTATGAATAGACAAGCCACACACATGGAGAAGAAATTTGCAATACATATTCTTAATGACATATCTAGAATACAGAGTTCATATGAATCAATAAGATAAACACTGACAACCAAATTAGAATTTGACAAGCAAATGGAACAAGTACTTCACACGAAGGTATATCCAAATGGCCATAAACATATAGGAAAAATGCTCAATATTATTCCTTAACTGAGGGAGTGCAAAGTTAAAACCACAATGAAATATTATTCTTTAGAAGACCCCAAGGAGCAGGAACAACTGGAACTTATCATCCACACTGCTGGGGGGAAGTACAACTACTTTGGAAAAAGGTTTGGGCGTGTCCACTAAAGCTGAACATTACTCCCTTGAGCCAACAGTTCTACCTCTGGGTATAAAGGAATGAGTATTATGAGAAGATACCTTTGGGAGTTACCTTTGTCTCCTGACAAAAGATTGTTATATAGGAGTGTTCATGGCTAGCAAAAAGATAGGAAAAAGCCCAACACCCATTTGCCATGGAAGGAATAAATAAAACATTACATAGTAGAATACTGGGCTTCTTGTTGGCTGAGATGGTAAAGAATTCACCTGCAATGCAGGAGATGTGCATTTGATCCCTGGGTTGGGAAGATCTGGAGAAGGAAATGGAAACCCACTGCAGTATTCTTACTTGGGAAATCCCGTGCACAGAGGAGCGTGGTGGGCTACAGTCCATGGGATCGCAAAGAGTAAGACATGACTTAGTGAGTAAACCATCAGCACCACCATAGTAGAATACTAAACAAAAAGTAACCATCAGTCCATGTGATAATGTGGATGAATCTCACAAATGTAATGTGTAGTGAAAGGAGTGGACATTAGTCAACTAGTACATCCTGTCTGAGCACGTGTATTTGAAGTTAAAATGCTGGGAAAGCTAATCTGTGGTGACAGAGGTAAGGAGAGAGGGTACCTTTGGCCTGCTCCAGGGGATCTTCCCAACCCAGGGATTGAACCCAGGTGGATTCTTTACTGTCTGAGCTACCAGGAAAGAACAAGAATACTGGAGTGGGTCGCCTATTCCTTCTCTAGGGTATCTTCCCAACCCAGGAATCAAAACAGGGTCTCCTGCACTGCAGGTGGATTCTTTACCAGCTGAGCTACCAGGGAAGCATCCTGGAGAGCTGGAGGTAGTGGTTATGTGTGTACACAAAGGTGAAATCACAGCTGTGCACATAGGATTAGTGTGCATCAGTGTACATATGACACACCTCAACAGAAAAGACAAGCGGCCCTCTACCTTGTCTTCTGTGCACTGTCCCAGCTCCTCGCTGCTCACTGCATCCCTGGGCTGCATCTCCAGCAAGGTTCTGAACAGCATGTTGGATGTGACCGTCAGAAATTCAATTTCAGCGTTCGGGTGGAGGCCATACAGCACTGGGCTCTCTGGAGGAAGCATCTCTTCTATGTACTGGTGGTAGCCTGAGTAATCCAGGCTGGGTGGAGCTGCAAATCCTGGTGCCAGCATCAGCTCATCATCAATCTTCAAGCCCAAAGGAAAAGCCAGTTATTCCAAATTGAAGTGGACATCAGTCTTCCCTTCCTAAACACCTAGGGAACAGCACAGTGCTAGCTAGAGGGCACACTCTCCATAGGATCTCATGACCCTCTTGTAATCAATCACTTTGCTCCACGTATGGTACCCGGCTGACCTCTGGAGGAGTCCAAGGAACACACCTGAACCTATCCCTTAGAAGGGGTAACAAGATACATGCGCACAAAGGGAACGGACTGGTGCTGAGTATCTACTGAGTTCCGGCCACCCTGTTACATGTTTGCAGTCACTAATTCTCCCCATATATCCCCATTTTGCAGAGAGAAAACAGATTCAGAGTAACTTGCCCAGGCACATGTTTGATGTTAATCTTAATTCTGAACTCATTTTAGTATGACTTCATAGTACTTTCCACAATACTACTTCAAATTATTTTATATATTATACACATGGATTTTGTAAGCATGCATGATTATGTGTGCATATCTTAAAAAAGGTGTATGAGTGTGTGTAATGAACATGTTATAGGATAGTATGCACTATGATTCAAATGAATGTGACTTCCCCATGACTCTGAGCTTCTCAAGGCAGTCTGTGTAGCTCATCTCAGGATTTGTAGACCTGAGGCACATACTGGTACCCCCTCTATAGTTGCCTAATAAGAGGCTGGAGTCATCAGGCATTAATCACGCCCACCCCTTCATTCAGGCTGAGACAAGGGTATATGTTCTACCTGGAAGAATGTTCTATGTTCTCAACCAAGGCAAGGTGAACAGCAATACCAGAACGTCTAATGTTAGAATGCAGTGCTTCAACATACTGTAAGCACAGCTGTGATGACCTAGATGGGGGTGGGGGGATGGCAGGGAGGTCCAAGAGGGAGGGAGCATACGTGTACACACCGCTGCTTCACTTCCTTGTAGAGCAAAAGCCAGTGCAACATTGTAAAGCAGCTACACCCCGGTTTAAAAAAATTAAAAAAGGATTTATGGGTTTCCGTCTCTAACCAGCTATAAATAGTGTCAATCAAGCACTTATACTTTTCTCGTTAACTCACTATATGCTCTGATATTTTTCCCTGATTTGTTCTTTAGTTCCCAGGGGACCATTATACTTTGGTTTTAATTTTCCCAACCTCTCTTGCTGTAAATTCTGTCTAGATGCACTTAAATGCACAGGGGCTACTAGTTTTTAAAGACTGTCACCTAATGTAGTTATTTTATGCCTAGATTTTAAAAAATTTTATTATTATTTTATTATTTTGTTTTCTGAAAATGGGGTTTATCTCTGCAATTGTGTATTTTTATGTTTTCTGGTCTCGCTATCGCCTGGAGACAAAGTGACTATTCATTAATTCATTCCATCATTTGAACAGATTACCTAGTGTACCCCAATAAGCTGTGGAGGTACAAGAGAATCATACAATGCAGTTCTTAAGGAACTTACAGTCTAATGGAGACAAAACATGTGTGATTTTCTACGCAGTCATGTCGTCAGTGAGTGTCAGCATTTCGTCCCTGCCTTCTCAAGCCTGCAGCCCCACAATGCCTAGGAGCCCACGTCCTTAGGGATGGTGGTGCACAACTGCTTTCCTGAATTCCAAAAACCTTTTTTAAATATTAAAGTCAGCATTTTTGTTTTTATTTTGTACCAAGAGAATTTTGAAATTATCCAGTATTTCATTTTGCCAGAAACAGACCTTGACCCAATAAATAGAAAAGGAGCATCGTGGACTATCTTCATTAACTATATCCATTCATTTGGTTTGTTTTATTCAATGGTATTCAGATTTTCTACCATGTCATATTTATATATATCAAAATAATCAACATTTAAATTTCACTCAATTCACCATGACCAAAACAAAACCGTGAAGCAGATTTAAACTCACCATTACTTGATAGATATGTTAGCTAAAATAAAAACATGGGCACAAAATATGAATACGAAAACCAAATGTTAGACTAAATATATCCAAGCCAGAATTTATCCCTACAAACAAGGACTTGGTTTTCCCTATTAGTGTTCACTAGTTACAAGAAATTTTAAGAGCAACAGCTAAATTATCTTTCAGTACAGCCAAGAGTTAAACAGAGTTTCAAGGAGAGAAAGTAACCAAACCATGGAATCATTTGGAACTTTCAAAATGCCGGGGGTCTGGACATGTGTGTGACTGCATATTCATATACTGTGGGTAGGAATGCAGATATCTGCGCTTTTGGGAAAGACTTGGGCAGTCTGTGTACTAGTGTGTGAAGAGGGCCTTCTGAATACCGGACAAGGAGCGAAGCCGAGGAGGACAGCAGAATCAGAGGGAAGGGTTAAGTTTACAGCCAGACAGATCTGGTTCAGTTCCCATCTCTGAGTGGTTAGGTGGCCTTAAAAAAATGACTGTTTATCTGAGTTTCAATCTTATCAGTAAGGTGGGGTTCACAACAGCAACCTAATGATCGTGGCTATGAGAATTCAATGACAAGTATACAAATAGCTGGGCTTCCCAGGTGGCGCTAATGGTAAAGAACCTGCCTGCCTGTGCAGGAGACAAAAGAGAGAAGCAGGCTCCATCCCTGGGTCAGGAAGATCCCCTGGAGGAGGCATGGCAGCCCACTCCAGTATTCTTGCCTGGAGAATCCCATGGACAGAGGAGCCTGGCGGGCTACAGTCCATGGTGTCACACAGAGATAAACATGACTGAAGCAACTTTGCACATATGCACACAAATAGCTAGGCACATAGCAGCCTTTTGCAAACGTTAGTTTTGTTTTTTCCTGCACCCTAGAAAGAGACGAGTATCTCAAGTACACATTAATTTTCTAGAAGGAAAAACAAAACTTGAGAATGTCCTACTGTAGGTCCCTACTGTGATGTGAAACAAGTACAACATGATAAGCGAGGCTTAGTTCACACAGGGACTTAAGTTCTCCGTCAATAAAACTGTGAAGATGTGAACATACTCAATGAGCGCTAGGAATCCTGATTGTGCATCTAAGCCTTCTCCCATCCCATGTAAGGGCTTTTATGAAAAGCTGTTTCTCCCTGATGGGACTCTAACTCTCTCTGCACAATGGCTAAAGCTTATTGTTACACCTCAAAGAATCAGTTGTTCTAAATTAACATGTCTCCAAAGAAGACTCACAAATGGCCAATAAGCACAGGAAAAGATGCTCAACATCATTAGTCTTCAGGGAAATGCAAAACACAATCACAGTGTTATAAAACTGCTTCACACCCACAGTAAGGATGCGGAGAGAATGGAACTCTCATATATTGCCAGTGGGACTATAAAATGATGCAGCCACTTTGGGAAACAGTTTGTTGGTTCCTCAAAATATTAAACATAAAGTTACCATATGATCCGATAATTTCATTTCTATGTATATACCCAAAAGAAGTGGAAATGTATGTCCATGCAAACACTTACACATGAATATTTATTCTACCATTATTCATGATAGCCCAAGGCCAAAACAACACAAATATTCATCAACTGATGAACAGATACATAAAATAGAGTGTGCTGATACACTGGAATATTATTTGGCCCCTAAAAGGAATAAAGTAGTGATACATGCTATAACACGGATGAACCTTGAAAACATTATGCTAAGTGAAAGAAGTCAGACACAAAAGACCAGTATTGTCTGATTCCACTTACGTGAAATGTCCAGAATAGGCAAATCTCGAGACATAAAGATTGGTGATCAGCTGGGGCTGGGGAGTGGGGGATGTTGAGGACAGGATGGTGACTGACTACTAATGAGCCCAGAGTAGCTTCTGGGGGTGACAAAGATGTTCTAAAACAGATTGCGGCAATGGCTGCATAACAACACACGAGAAACCTTTGGATTGTCAACTGAAACTGGTAAATTTTATGGGACGTGAATTATATCTCAACAAAGTATTTGAAGAGAAAGAATCAGTGGAGCTGTGCTCAGGGAGAATGAGCCTCCGCATTATGAAAAATCATCAAGAATCCCAGTCGTCTCTGCAGAAATCAGCACAGGGCACGCTCGGGTAGAATCGTTAGGGACTGAGGAAGCCAGGATCCTGCCGTTCTGTTGAGTCTGTTTGATTGTCACTCTTTCACCTTCTCCTTCCTGGTAATTAATGAAAGGCTCACCTCCTCCACTGCCTCTCCGAGGAGCCCTGTTTACGCATAGAAGCTCCCAATTCACCATGAGTCTAAATGAGTGTATATGCTTGTGGACTTTTGAGTTTAAAAAGAATAACAACAACATGCCCTGGCACCAAAGTCTGGGAGGCAAATTTCTGAAGGCTGAATCATGTTTTCTACCTTGAGGGTACATTAGTGATTTTCTAGACGATACTCTTATTTCACAAATGAATATACTGAGGCACAGGATGGGCTGGCACAAAGCTGGACAGTAAGTTAGCGGCAGAACCAGGACCAGGCCTCGGGTCTCCAGGACCGTCCAAGGTTATTCTCCCAGTAGCCACCCTGTGCGTGCATCCCCCGTGCACAGGGCAGATGGAGGTCCGTCTGTGACACGTGCCCCAGGACTGCTGACAGTCAGCACTCCAGCCAGGGGCCTGCAGAGAATCTGGAGCCTGACTGTGAATTCAAGTCCTGATTTGGCTGCTTGTGCAACTGTTGGAGCTCGCTGAATCTGGGTTTCCTCTGTGATGACTGGGATAACAATATCTACTTTGCAGGACTGCAGTGAGAACAGACAGTACACATGAACTGTGTGATACAGACCCTTTGGCACAGAGCAGGGGTTGATAAAATTTAACAAATGGCTTCCATTGTTATAGCTGCTGATTATATAAAGTATAGTCAAGTACAAAATATACATTATGAAAATTTATACTCTGTAATAGTAAAAATGTTTCCTATTTATTAGGCATTTTGTTCTAGCAGTCTTGAAGCCTGACAGTGAACCCATGAGTTGGGCCATTCTTGTTCCACAGATGATGAAACAGAGGCTCAGGTTCAGTGATGTAGCCACAACTGCACAGCAGACACAAAAGAACTGAATCTGAACCCGAGTTTTATTTTTACTTCAAAGTCCAACTTCATGATTGTTAAAATTTGACAGATGACCTAATACCTTATTTTCCAAAAGTAATTTACTGTACTACTTGTTTAGCATTGCCAAGTATGCACCTCACATAAGAGAATCGTATTAATTCTAATTCCCTAACTTTGGCCAGGAACCTTCTGAAGCACATGCCATCAGCCCTCTCTAAATGACACCTCATTTACCCAACAAGAAACTCATCCATCTTCCCTAATAGGACAAAGTCAGTGAAAACATTCTGAGTGGTGGAACTTGAAACCTCAGACCACCCATGGGTAACTTTTCGATCAGATGTCCGTGCAACCAAAGGTACTAATCGACAAGTAAGTTAACCAACGTGAGAAGTGGCAAAAAGACATCCTGCGGATGATGCAGTGTCAACTTAAGTCTCTCATGACGTAAACAGCATGAGCGGGAAACATCTGCACGAGAACAAAATAACTGGGATTTCACAGCTTCTGCCACCAAACCAGTCAGAGCTTTCCCTTCCTCTGGTGAGTAGAAGGGGCAGTGCCGTCTGGTGAGCAGGGAAGATGGCAAACAAGCATCTCCATCCTGAAAGCCTCACCAGATTGGCCGGGAAGGGCGGCTACCTGCATTTCTAAAGGGCTAACACCCACCCCAGTGATGCCCCTCGGGTTGCACCCTCGACCTTTCTTTTCCAGTTATGTGAATGGGCGTCCAGCCGTGTGCAGGTTCACGGACCATCTCAGCTGGCAACAAGGATCACTCATCCTCAGGCCAGGACCACAGAGCTTCTCGCTCTGCCCCTTGACCTCCACTATCATTCGGAGGTGGCAGGTAAAGGTGGCAGGCCCGGCCCTCTTTAGCTTTCCTATATCCATGGTAACCTGCTCCCAGAGCACCTCTGAGGAACGACTTCCGATTGTGCTGAATTGAAAGTGTCTTTCTGACCTGTGAAACCCAGTTCATCAGAACTAAGGAAAGACCAGGAGACTCACAATCAAAAGAAACAAGTCATGGTTACATGGCAGGGAAGTATATTTTTCCCTGCCCCATCCCCAAATCGTTCCACATTATTAAAAGCAGAAAAAAAAACTGTCCTTAGTTTCCTATATGAGACTACAATATACCATGTTTTCTTTTTTTTTTTTTTTGAGTTAAAATTAATATTTATTCGTGGGTATCAGGAAGATAAGAGAGTCCTGAGTTTCCTACATTATATCTAAACTCTCATTGTTAATCCTAATTTGTATTTTCTCTGAATAGCCCCATCGTCAAAAACATGTTTTCCACAACTGTGTATATTCTGTGGCATACCTGTAGCTATATTAAAAACCTATTATTTAGAAGCGCCTGCAGGACAAACTGATAATTGTATTACATACAGACTCAGTTCCAATCACATTACTGCAGGAATCTGTACCATGTTTTCTAACACATTTCTTAGAATGGACTTTTGAGGAAGGTGTCATGCTTTTATAAGATGAAGTTCTCAAGAAATTATAAATAGTCTGCTCAAACTATTTTAAAAAATACATGGCACTGCTTTAAACACAGCTGGTGTCTTGCCCAAGCGGGAGTAGAAATTGCATGGTGGAGGGTGTCTTAGCGTTTCTAAGAAATAATCAGGAAATGGCCATGAACCTGCTACCACTTTCACCTACTTCAGTATGAAACACAAGAACTCAATACTTTTTCCAAAAAACCCAGCCCTAGGCACAAACCATGTAGGTATCTGGTCTATACAGACAAAGGGCTGGTAAGATAAGAAATGGGAAAAAAGGGTACCAGGTTTCTTTATATTGCAGAACTGGGGGCTCTGCCCCTTCCTCACAGAAGGAAGAACTGTCTTTTTAAATCACTGCAGTTTTATTGAGCACATATTTAGTTAGGACACAGTGATCAAAATTTAGAATACTCCATGGCTTCTGCGACAGAGAATAAACTATAGATTTCAATCACATCAGAGCCCCTGAATTGAAATCAATACATCTGCCTAGAAATAGATACATACGGCTGGGGCCCTGCCAGTGATAACTGAGTAGCCGGGGACAAATCACCATGCCCCTGCTGCCATCTCTAAAATGGGGTGACAATTTCAGTTCTGCATAACTTACAGGGTTATTTCAGAAATACAGTGAGGCTGTGCATGTGACCATACTTCCTATGGGCAGAGAAACCACCTGTGTGTGTGAGTGTGTGTACGTGTATGTGTGAGTGTGTGTGTGTGGGGGGGAGTTATGTTAAAACAGATTCTCATCTTATGGGTCTGAGATGTGGCCCAAGATCCTGCATTTCTAGCAAATTTCCAGACTCCCAGGAAGGTGGGCCAGAGTATATTCACAAAAGGCCAAGAATCTTCAGTAACATTCAAGGACTATTAACATAGTGACATCAGTTTTAAAACTTCTTAGAGGAAGAGAAATATCATATGATGTCCCTTATACGTGGAATCTAAAAAGACATGGTACAAATGAACTTATTGACAGGAGACTCACAGACCTAGAAAACGAACTTATGGGAAGGATGGGGAGAAGGGATCGTTAGGGACTTTGAGATGGATAGTACACATTGCTAAATTTAAAATGGATAACCAACAAAGACCTACTGTATAGCACAGGGAACTCTGCCCATTGTTATGGAACAACCTAAATGGGAAAAAGAATTTGCAAAATAGACACTCGTACATGTATAACTGAATTACTTGGCTGTATACCTGAAATTAACATAGCATTGTTATCCAACTATTATCCACTACGAAATAAAAAGGCAAAAAAAAAATTCTTACTAGAATTTTTTTCTCTAAGAAATGATTTTTTTAAAAATGTCTTACCAGAGAGGGATTCATGAATTCTTCTAAATACACACAGCACAGCTTGCGGTCCCAGTCATCTGCGATGTGGCCCCCATACATAATCTCACCAAAGAGGTAGCGGAGGTCTTCCCACGGGACCTGGGGGGATCAGGCAAGTGTTCACTCCCGGGGCCAGGGCAAAGGCCTCAGTCAACTGACGGCAAACCCTCCAGCCCCCACCAACAGAAGCATTTAAAAGAGGTCCGACAATTAGAATTGAACTGGTTGAGAACTATTTTCCGTGTGTGTTAATACATTCAGTAAAAATTCACCAACACCGAGCTTTTTTCTTAATTTTTCTTGTGTGGCATGTGGGGTCTTCGTTCCCCAACCAGGGATTGAACCTGCGCCCCTTGCGGTGCAAGTGCAAATTTTAACTACTGCCAGGGAAGTCCCAACACAGCTTTTAATGAAGACTTTAAAGCAAATCTGAGTTATTCCCAGAACATGTTTATACATTCGAAACCTCATCTACAAACCAGGAGAAGCCCATGTTGGTTGATACAGCTTTTGAGGGATGACCTCCTTTTACAATCTGATCTGTATCAGGTTTTTATGATCTGATTCAGGAAAAGAAAGAAAAACTCTACAGTTTGAATCTGGGGTATAGTGAGAATTCCATCACCTTCCAGAAATCCAGGCAAACCAATTGAGTTTGTCACAGACTGATCTGAGGGCTCGGTTTAGGGCATGGCTGGCTCCAGGACCATCCTAGGGCTACAGCTACTGACTGCACTATGCTAGAGTGCGGAAACCTCGGCATCTCCGCTTCACCGGGCTTCACAGGGTTTGAAGCCCCTTCTTTGCTACCCTTTAGCTTCCTCTGGGTTTGCAAAACATGCCAGCTTGTGATGAAGCCTTTCTAGACAGAAACCTTTATATCCTCGGGGGCAGTATATTGCTTCCCAGCAGTTGAAGTAAAAACTTAATTATAGCCTTCGAATTGTTGCATGATGTGACAGAACAAGTAAAATTGCCTCAACTATTCCAATGCACTTGCTACAGGTTTATTAGAATTTGAATAAATGAACCTCAAATACGTCTTTCTTTTAAGGCACCGCAATGTGAATGAAAAAGAAAAGTGGCTACAAGGCACCATGCTGCCTCCACCACGCCATGGACTACTTCCAGAGAGCAGAAAGGGATGGGAAATAAGATTTCTTAACTTGATTTCTGTGATCACATTTAATTAATGCCTTCTATATATTATGATTTGATACATGGCCCCCTCAGGATTTTAAGCAGCTACAGATCTATTCTTCTTAATCATTGATTTTCTTCCCCAAAATCTTGATTTTGTTTTCTGCATATACATTTTTCTGGCATCCTTCCCTTGGCATGGTGACACACCCTGAAAAGAAACAAGGGAACTTCTTGTTACTCAATGGAGGTCTTCTTGAGCAGGTTGGAATGGGAGGAAGGTATTGCTACAGAGTAACAATTTTCCTTCCTGCTTCCCTGAGGCTTCTTAAAACCAAAGTCAGAAGTTACATAGCTCTGATCCCCAACCTTAAATGCAATCAAGTGATATTTTCAATTAAAGTCTTCCAACCTTGACATTCAAGATTTTCTCTATGGTGAGACTTATAAAATTTATATGGAATAACATCAAAGTTCTTATAAGAGTTAAACCATGGGGGGGCTTCCCTGGAGGCCCAGTGGTAAGGAATCTGCTGCCAATGCAGGAGACGCAGGTTCGATCCCTGATTCAAGAAGATCCCATGTGTCGCAGAGCAACTAAGCCCGTGCACCACAACTTCTGAGCCTGTGCTCCAGAGCCTAGGAGCTGCAGCTAGTGAGGGTCCTTGAGCTTGTGCCCCGCGACGAGAGAAGCCACTGCAATGAGAAGCCTGCACTCGGCAACTAGAGAAAACCTCGCACAGCAACAAAGACCCAGAACAACCAAAAATAAATTAATTAGTTTAAAAAATGTAAATGTTGGCATTCCCTAAGACTTAATCTTTAAATCTCTCCATCACACTTGAGATCACCGTTGGTGATCTCATCTAACCACATAACTTGAAAGATCATCTATCAAATGCCTACTTCCAAGTTTATACGTACACCTTCTTGAAAAGGGCATCATGTACAAACAAACTATGTGAGCAAGTCAACTTAATTCCCAAACCAAAGTAACTTGCTTCATGATATGTGGTGAATGACTTGGGTCAAGACATCTGAGAGACAAGACAGAGTGTTTAAAACCTGAAGCTGTGTTGATCCTGGGACCCCCGTGGGAGAAGTAGCAGGACACAGCAAGAGTCAACTGCTCAAGTGGTGCTGCCAAGCCTCAGGGCGTGAGAGTTGAGAGAAACATGGGTCGGCTCCTCTCCTACCCCACTTCATTCCTACTTCCACTGTGGACAGGATGTGGCTGAAATAGGGTAATATGCCTGGTCTTGGCCTCCTGGGACAGGAATTAAGGACTTAAATAAAAGTATTAAGTGGTCTATTTAATTTTCCACCCAGAACTATGACAATAATCATTTTTACCTGCAACATTTTAAACAAAATGTGCTAAGATCAACACAAAATGCTGTTTATTAAACTGGTCAAAATATGCTCAAAGTGAACTTCAAAAATTTTAAATATGATAGCAACTATCACATACCATACAGAAGCAATTTATTTTGAATACAACAAGTGTTATTCAACATGTGTTCCATGACAGAACACACCCATGTTACATACAAAATGTACGTATTTGCTGACAGTGGTCAAACCATCTTGAAAGATTAAGAAAATTTTGACAACAAAAATTATAACAATAGTTACCAAAAGAACAGCAACAACAAAATATTTATACATAGAAACATTGGTTGAATGGTTTTAAAGGCCTTTTATAGCAAGTATGACCTAAAGCCTAATGCCTGGTTGGTTCGGACAAACATACCTCACTTTTAACAGATTGAAACTTAATGGAAAAAGTTCCCCTTATGAGGACTAAGTCAGAAAATCCTTACAAATGGTTCATCCTTTTTTAAATCCAATCTCTGGGTTTGTAAGAGTTTACACAAATGTTCTTGATGAAGCGTTCCCATTCCCATCTGTAGAACACATTTTAGCTACGAAATAAAATCATTCATCTACCTTTAACTTCAAATCAAGGGGAACATTACTGAGAAAGTCACAACAAGGTGGCATCCTTAATACATAATAATGACATATGCAGGAAATGCACCATTATTTATACATGTGACGTGCTGTAAATTGCTTCCATCATCAGAACTAATTGTAGTGATTATTAATGCAGTGTTATGAACTGTCAGAATTGCTGTACGTAATTACATTTGTGCAAATGCTTCATTACCTGCCTAATGAATCTGGCATATATGCACATGTAAACCACTGTTTTTGTTAACATAATGAAGGACAATTTTTTTGGGGGGGTGCTAAGCTGCGGATGTAGAACTGGTTTGACCTATCTTCTAAAGTTCGAGCATCCATTGTTGTAAAACCTTTGATCTGGTTTATTTTCACACTGGGCAGAAGATGCATATATAGTGTCAGCTATTTCAATAACAGCTTCAAAAGAGAAATTATGGTCCATTTTGATAGTGCCCAAAGACTGACAGCTTCAGCACGCTCCCCAGAAAGGTTATCCGACCACAGACACTTACGTTAGGGTTTGCCTCTAAGTAGTTGTAGAGGACGTTGGCACAGATGGTGAGGTCCCCGGGACTGAATGGGTAGCGGCGGCTCCAGCCCTGGGGGCCAAACCTGAGCCTCCCGGCAACACAGGCATGGAAGTAGCACAGAGAGAAGAGGATGCTTTTAAACTCCTGCTCCTTGGAGCACACTTCGAGTGTATCCTGGGAGAAAAGAAAAAAGGAGTGATCATTTACCTGTATGGTTTCCAAGGGCAAGGGTCTGAGTTTTCAATTATCTTGTAGAGGACTCTGAGAGAGACCTAGGACAGAGGTGACACACAGCCTTAAGCTGAGAGAGCATAAGAGGAAACTGGCACTTGCTAGTCTGTCGATTTAAGAGGAATGGTTTTCTTTTGCTTCAGTTATACCTCTGTTCCTCTAGAGAATGAGACCATTCATTCTGACCAGTGGTAATACTGTGTGACGTCATTTTCCCCTGCAAAAATTTCCTTGTACAATCTGGATGACAAAAGGCCATCATCTTAATTTCATCAGTGTAGCAGAATTTAAGGGAATGCCAGCTCTCCATTCCTCTCAGTTCCATGGTAATACAGATGATCTGAGCACACGGACACTCATCACAAAATAATTTGCCAGCCTCTCTTGAAGCTGGATGTGTCACGTGACAAGGTCTTTTCCAACAGAATTTGAGCAGAAGTGATGTGTGCAACTTTCATATCACTTCTTAAAAGGAAATTGCTTGCTCTGCTTGTCATTCTACCCCTTCCTGTGAGCTAGAAAAGACACTGATTGGGTGACTTGGAAGCCATGAGTTAGGTATATGGCGGAGGCACCAACCAGCTTGGGTGTGTAGTTGATTAAAAAGACTAGAGCTGCCAGTTATGTGCGACAGAAATTAAGCTGGACCATAAAGAAGGCTGTGCACCAAAAAATTGATGCTTTTGAACTGTGGTGTTGGAGAAGACTCTTGAGAGTCCCTTGGACTGCAAGGAGATCCAACCAGTCCATCCTGAAGGAGATAAGTCCTGAATATTCATTGGAAGGACTGATGCTGAAGCTCCAATACTTTAGCCACCTGATGCAGAGAGTCTACTCATCGGAAAAGACCCTGATACTGGGAAAGATTGAAGGCAGGAGGAGAAGGGGATGACAGAGGATGAGATGGTTGGGTGGCATCACTGATTCAATGGACATGAGGTTGAACAAACTGTGGGAGATGGTGAAGGACAGGGAAGCCTGGCACATTACAGTCCACGGGGTCGCAAAGAGTCAGACATGACTGAGCAACTGAACGACAACAAGAAATTATCTTCTTTGAATCACTGTAATTCTGTACTGCCCCTTGACTAATACAAATACAACTAATACAACCACCACCATGACAACTTGTTTTCTTCCAATGAACTGGAAATAAAATTCACTGTTGGAATGATAGACTGGCATACAGAAGAGTATAAAACATATGCCCTCTATAGTAGATGTGTAAGATGTTTTTTGAAAATGCAGAGGGAAACCTGGCATGTTACACTGATATGATTATGGCCCCCAAAGCCATACAATTAAAAGGTGAAAAATAGCTGTCTGTGGCTTAAAGGCAGTACTGAGCCATTCTCAGTTCTGTGAGGCAAATGAAGAAAAGTTGAGGACTATCCCTTCAGCTTGTGCTGGGCAGCAGAGGATGAGGAGGCCATTTCAGCACCTTCTATCCTTTAAAATGGTCAGATTACACACAGTCTAGACATTTAAATGGATCAGACAATGTGGGCATTTGCAAAATCTATTTAGCCTGTTCTGGGTGGGAGTTCAGATCTGGCCTCCCAGGGCCTTTCAGTAGAAGTCTACACCCAGCCTAAATTTGTTCTCTTGGTCCAGGACTAGAAGAGTTTTTTAGTTCCTTTCTGTATTGCTTTCATCAGAATCCAGGGTTACCACCAAATACAGTTCTAGAATTGGCCAGGCCACAGACAGTACAGGCCCAACTAAATCACTAGGTCATTCTCAATCACTAGGTCATTTCTAGGAAATTTGTGGCCTTGAAAGTGTATGACCACTACAAATAATTTTTCCATTGTACATCAAGTAAAAGGCAAGCTTGTGAAAGAAGAGAAATCATATAATTGGAATTAATGTTGACAGTAAAGAATTTGCCTGCCAGTGAAGAAGACATAGGAAACGTGGGTTTGATCCCTGAGTTGGGAAGATCCCCTGGAGAGAGAAATGGCAACTCACTCCAATATTCTTGTCTGGGAAATCCCATGGACAGAGCACCCTGGCAGGCTACAGTCCTTGGGGTTGCAAAGAGCTGGATATGACTGAGCAACTAACATATTCAGTGTTGAAGGATATAAAAATTCATTGCTTTTAAAAGTAAGAAATTTCTTGGAGATTAACTAGAAGTGACAAAATTTTACTTAAGGAATATCTAACTACTCACTTAACTCCTCCATGAATTACATATAGTCCCCAGAAAACCCAAAGTACTACAATCAGTACATTATTTCTATCTATACTGCATATAACCTAGTTTTAGCCTCAATGCTAAAGAAAATCACAAGTCAATGCCCATTTCACTATGCTCTGATAACATAAATCATGTTAGGAGAAAATATGAATTTGGTTTTTCAAGAAAAATGTATAAGTCTACCTAACATTCCACATTCCAGGACAAGTGATCAAGTGTTCATATCAGGAAATATACAAATGACATTGTAAAGAGAGAACAGGCACTCACACACAACTATGTGGCATGCACACAGACACCAATTTAATATGCACAATTATTGATTATTTGTTTCTACCGCAAATCTCACAGAAAAATAAATTTACATTTTTACTTCAAAAATCTGGTTATCTGGGGATGAAAGGAGCTCAGGCATTCATGACATCTTCTCCAAGAGGCAGTGCCATTGAGCTGGAAGAGGGGGAGGTAGGCGGCATCCTAAAGATACGGTTCTTTACATATATACATGTAAATACTCATCACTTAGTGATTATATTTACATATTCTAGAATGTTCAAGGTAGTAAAGGACCAATACTAAATGAACTTTGTTCACTATGAGTACCCATGTCAAGATCTGAGGATACATTCTGATTTGGGAAGAAGATTAAGAATACAGATTATATTTGATTTGAAAAATCAAAGCATGTTAAACAAAACTACCCAAACAGAACAGTTAATGTGTCTGCATTCCTTGGGTGCTTTTCTCATCTAAGGACACCCAGGCAACAGGAGACACTAGGACTCATTCAGCTCACCCAAAGGGGAACCAAGGGAGACAGCGGTTAGCATCCTTTGTCACAAGCTTTAGCAGATAGGATAACAGCTGCAACACACAACATCCAGGATGGTACACTTGGGAGAGGAGGTGTCCATGATGGACACTGCTAACTGCCAGCCCTAAAGTGCCTTCATGCTGACTTTCAGCTGTCCAAGATAGATTTACTTTTCCAGCCTCTCTTGCAGCTAGGTAATGCAGTGTGAATAAGTTTGACCAATGAGTTGAAAGAAGTAGTGTGTACTAACTTGAAGAATACAGCTTTACAAGGAAACAAACATGCTCCCTTCATCATCTTCTCTGTTCCTTCCTTCATCCTACTTTCTGGAACACAGATATGGGAGCTTCTGCTCTCACTGCCACCTGGGACCAAGGCAAGCCCATCCTAGAAACATGGTAAGCACACTGGGCTGATGACAGCTCTGTGGCGACACAGAGGAGCTCTGAATGACCTGGCTCCTGAACTCTCACGTGATAGAAGTACCTTTTATAACCTTGTTTAGGCCACTGTTGCTTTGTACTTCCTTCATAAATAGCCAGCCATAATTCTAACTGATAAACAATGCCAGGAATCTATAGACAGATAGCTAGGGAGCACAGACTACTACCCTTTAAATATATAATCTGAATAATAACTACATTTTTTTTCTAACATAATGACAATTCAGCATTTCATGAAAACCTCTTTTAAAAGTTTTAGATTTTCTTTAGAATGTTGATTTGGGTGGCTTTGGCTAGATTTGATGCAAAGTTTATTTAGTGAATCACAATGATTATCTTTGCTTTCACCACTTATGACTATATTTAGTCTTAATATTTCAGAGGAGCCCTTTCAGTAGATAAGAAATATTGTCCCTTAAAGTTCTTAAGAGTCTCTCCAATAAATGCAATCTTCAGTTAATATAAGTGGTTCTTCAAGGAGCAGTCAAAAGAACTGATACTTTCATAAGCTAGAACATGCTGTTCTCACTGGGGAAGGAATTCGGGCACAGGCTCTGGGGATCCGTGACTGTATGCAACAATGTACATTTCCCTGGGGAGAGTGTATGTAGTTTTACCTGATTATCAGAGTCGTGCTTACCAAAAAAAAAAAAAGCTGAAGGACAACTGGGCTGCAGCCTATATGTTCATGAACTGCTTACTTTTACAAAGACAGCTGTTCTGGGGAGTTGGATAAATCCTATTTGAATATGTCAAACTACTCATTTGTCTCTTTGGGAAAAAGCTCAGGAATGTCATAAATGGCAGGAATTGTGACAAGTCAAGGGATAATAAGACACAGGCCTGCCTTAGTTCACACAAAAGGATAATTCAAATATGTAACAGATTCAACAAAAATTTCTGAGTGCCTTTTGTTTATACAGCCCATCATGTAAACAGGCTACAAACTACTCAATTATTGAATTAGGCAATTAACTGTATTCTTCAAAACTATTTTCTTAGGTAGCCAATTATTTTAATGCCTTTATAATGTTCAGTTGGGTATTGGTCCAGAGAGTACTAGATAAAAAGTTAATAAGCATGTAGACATATTTTCAGAGTGTAATAATGTCTCTAACAGGAGGCTGAATATGTATCACCAAATTATATGTGTTTTCTCTTCAGGGCTTATTCTACTTCTCCTAATAAGAATGTTTTTTACTGAGGATTTCCAAGAAATTAGAGGAAGGAATGGGAGCTCACAGAAATAGCAGCAAGGAAACTGACAGACTTGATGATAGCAGAGACAGATGTGGTCATCTGAACAAAGAGACTAATGGTAATAGAACTATCATTAATTTATAAAGGTATGAATTTTATTTTGAAAGGAGCTGAAAATGTCAATCTGAAGGTAGTATGGATATAATCTAAAAAGAAGGGCTTTAAATTTACTGATATAAAAATCATACCTAAAAATATTAAGCAGCATACCAAAACTCTCGCCATGTCATCACCGTCATCACCGCTCTCAATAACATCAATAAGAGCAACGGCTTTTCCTCCTTCTGTGGTTAGAAATACTAGCCTGCCATGCTTGTCTTCAATAAGCAAGTTTCTCAAAAAGGCACGATTGCTCATTCTCTTTCTGTGTAAGGCTGTGGTTTTAGGTCTCACAGTCTTGTGAGAAGACCCTGGCTTTGGGCCTCTGCTTTTTTACCTGATCAAAGTTGCAGAGAGCAGCATGCAGGTTGGCCAGCATCCCCGTGGGGGGCTCGGTGGTGGTCTTGACGGAATCTTCCAGGAGTCCCTGAGGGAAGACGTGCTCGCTGGGTGTAGGTGCCGCCTCGGCGCTCATGAAAGCCCTGTAATCTCGGTGGCTTCCCTGGCTGAATCTCTCAAGCAGCTTCTCCAAGGTTCTCAGCCACTTGGGTACCAAATGGACATTCTGAAAAAGAGCATGGTTTATGATTGCTGTGGAATACTGAAGTATGTTACTTAAATTACAAGATTACAACATTTTCCTTTACAGAAATGTCTTGAAAACACAGAGAACCATGATTTAAAGTTTCCTTCATTATCACGTTAGGGGGAAGAAAAGACCACGACAGAATTGAGCCCCGAACACATTAAGTGCTCCAAATCACTACAGGTTGTCTTTGTAAACCAAAATCTCCTTCCAACACACACAGCTACTTACAACACCCACCAATCACTTCTGAGATGGAGGTCTTGATACTTTTCTTTGTTACAGTTCAAACTCAATAACTGAGACTAATCTGGGTTAGTTTGATCAAGTATAAGAACTAAGGGCCAGAAATGCACCTGATCAGCTACTTCATTGTTACTGATGGAAATCTCCTCTACTCCAACTCCTCCTCATTGGTGTATGAACTCTAACATGGATATTCGACATGAAAGACTGGCTGAGAAAGCAAGCAATCACTCTTTGTTAAGATGTGTTATGTACTCCTAACATTATTTAATTTAAACCCCAGGGCTGTCAGAAATCGGGTAGGAAAAATATGTCACCACCATCACTCTTTGATTTTTAGTTTTACAATTTACAGATAGGCTCCTCCCATTCTAAACACCCACCATTTCGGCTTGGTAGTTGGTGCTATGAGAGATGTATAAAGATACCTCACATGATCTCTGGCTTTGGAGAAGTCCTTGCTATAGTGACTGAAAACATCATCCCCAGGAATACATCATTATTTCCAACAAAGAAACACATTTAAGATTATAATGGCTAAAGAAATAGAATGAAGGCAAACAGGGAAGGGAATGTAGGCAGCTGTTTTGCAGGCAGCTCTGTTGCAGGAAGCGGCTCTCTGCAGGATACCCTCCTGTTTTGTCAATTAGCAAAGCTATATCGTAGCTAACCTTGACCTGGGTGCCCCCATGTTCTACTCATCTCTGGTCCTAGCGCACCTCTCAAATCTTTTCATCACACAATGCCTTACCTAACCTGTTGAGTCTTCCCTTAGATCAAAGGAGCAGAAATGGAGAGTAAGTACTTAACAGATGACTAGATCTTTTTCCCATCCTCCCCTTTAGTAATCAGGTGAGCAGACTGTGTGAACAACAGCATCTGAAGAATGACCACAAGGTGCTCACAAGCCTGCATGCCGTGGTGGTGCTTCAGTAGCTAGGTGGTGTCCAACTCTTGCTACCCCACGGACCGTAGCCTGTCAGGCTCCTCTGTCCACGGGATTCTTCAGGCAAGAATACTGGAGTGGACTGCCATTTCCTTCTCCAGGGGATCTTCCTGACCCAGAAATTGAACCTGGGTCTCCTGCATTGCAGGCAGATTCTTTACCAACTGAGCTATGAGGGAAGCTTGCAAAGGGGGGACGGCAATAGTTCTGACCCTCCTACCTCAACGATGAACTGAGATTACTTTTTACCTTTTCCTTTAAAACCTTTCATCACTGAGCAGAACCTTTGGTTCTGGGAGCTGAGTCTTGCCTTCTCCCCAGAAGTTAAGGAACAGCACTCGCCTACCAGCACTTGCCTCTCTGGTATTGGCTTTTGGAGCAGCAAGTGGCCAAATCTGAATTTGGTAACAGGAACAGTAATGTAGATATCTTTCTTCAAAACAGTTTTGCTGTAAAAAGACCTACGCCAATCCAGTGGTTGACATTATTAGGCTTTTCTCCCCTGGGAGAATACTGAACATTGGAAGGTGTCAAGGCCTGAATCATGTCCCTCCAAGTCCATATGTTGAGTCCTAACCCTCAGCAAAAAAGCAAGAGAGTTCCAGAACAACATCTATTTCTGCTTTATTGACTATTGTGTGGATCATAATAAACTGTGGAAAATTCTGAAAGAGATGGGAATACCAGACCACCTGACCTGCCTGTTGAGAAACCTGTATGCAGGTCAGGAAGCAACAGTTAGAACTGGACATGGAACAACAGACTGGTTCCACATAGGAAAAGGAGTACATCAAGGCTGTATATTGTCACCCTGCTTATTTAACTTATATGCAGAGTACATCATGAGAAATGCTGGGCTGGAGGAAGCACAAACTGGAATCAAGATTTCTGGGAGAAATATCAATAACCTCAGATATGCAGATGACACCACCCTTATGGCAGAAAGTGAAACTAAAGAGTCTCTTGATGAAAGTGAAAGAGGAGAATGAAAAAGTTGGCCTAAAGCTCAACATTCAGAAAACAAAGATCATAGCATCCGGTCCCATCACTTCATGGGAAATAGATGGAGGAACAGTGGAAACAGTAGCAGACTTCATTTTTTGGGGCTCCAAAATCACTGCAGATGGTAACTGCAGCCATGAAATTGAAAGACGCTTACTCCTTGGAAGGAAAGTTATGACCAACCTAGACAGCATATTAAAAAGCAGAGATATTATTTTGCCAACAAAGGTTCGTCTGGTCAAGGCTATGGTTTTTCCAGTGGTCATGTATGGATGTGAGTTGGATGGTGAAGAAAGCTGAGCACAGAAGAATTGATACTTTTGAACTGTGGTGTTGGAGAAGACTCTTGAGAGTCCCTTGGACTGCAAGGAGATCCAACCAGTCCATCCTAAAGGAGATCAGTCCTGGGTGTTCATTGGAAGGACTGTTGTTGAAGCTGAAACTCCAATACTTTGGCCACCTGACATGAAGAGCTGACTCGTTTGAAAAGACCCTGATGCTGGGAGGGATTGAGGGCAGGAGGAGAAGGGGACGACAGAGGATGGGATGGCTGGATGGCGTCACCGACTCGATGGACATGAATTTGGGTGGGCTCTGGGAGTTGGTGATGGACAGGGAGGCCTGGAGTGCTGCGGTTCATGGGGTCGCAAAGAGTTGGACACGACTGAGCAACTGAACTGAACTGAACTGAGCCCTCAGCTCCTCAAAATGCAGCTATATTTGGAACAGGTTCTTAAAAGAGGTAATTAAGGCTAAATGCAGTCATTAAAGAGGAGGGCATGGCAACCCACTGCAGTATTCTTGCCTGGGGAATCCCCACGGACAGAGGAGCCTGGCGGGCTACAGTCCATGGGTTTGCAAGCAGACAGACGCGACTGAGCAACTAAGCGCAGCAAGCAGAGCAGACTGAAGTGGACCTTCGTCCAGTGTGACTGGTGTCCTTGTAAGAGGAAGAGATTAGGAGACAGACAGACAGACACACATAGAAGAAGACCACGTCAAGAAACAGGGGGAATGTAACCACCTATAAGCCAAGGGGAAAGACTGCAGGTAAGACCAAATCTGCTGACGCCTTCATCTCAGACTTCTAGCCCCCAGAACAATAAGGAATTATACTTCTGTTGCTTAAATGATCCAATCCGTGATACTCTGGTACGGCAGCCCGAGAAAACTTCTACAGCAGGTAAGGGCTCTCTAAGTTTCCTCCCTTACTTCCTACTAGATGGCAAGGAGAGTGTGTCTCACATCTACCCGTGCACTCATACAAGTAAGCAGGAGCAAAATCTGTAACAAAATCTGTTTTGCATGCTCAAATGTGTTCTGATTCTCTACCTCAAGGACTATGACAATGCCTTGCTTGGAAAGTTTATGTGAAACAAATGTAAAAATATCCCTAGGTGGTGACTTTGGAGTCAGGGAACAGAAAAATCTCCAAGTGCACCATCGCTGTATACAGTCACACTTTGGAATCCAGCCTGGGAACCATTCTTGAGGATACCAGCTTTGAGACTGGCTAGATATCTGTGGCCATTTGTCCAAGAGAAGCAGTGTTTGTGTGACATTTTTAGTCAATACACATATCTTGAAAACGACCCACTCTGCCTGTGAAAAGTGTTTTTTAATTCCATTATTTTAATTCACAAATCATCTGGTGTGCATGAGATAAAGACAGCGCCAGCCTGCTACCTTAGTTACAGTTTTCTGTGGAGTGTGGGTTTTCCGACAAAACCCTAGCTAGCTAAATATCCTCAGGGGCGCTATTTCTGGTCATAGTAATTGGCTACGGTGGAGTCTGGATAAGAACTGATTAACATGTGCATACATATCCTTTGCCCACGCCAACAAAATTGAATGTAAAATACAAATAATATAACAAGTTCTGAGTATGCTGGTCTTGTCATGCTGCAACGTCCTGCTCTTCTTTTAACTGCCAATCAAAGGGGTACTACAAATCTTTGGAAACTGCCAGTGTGTGGCAAAAAAAATAGCAAAAAAGTTACATTCTAAGTTTCTGGCTTATCACTAAGAACAAAAGCCTAGAATAGATATCCAAAAGGAGACCCTTCACAAAGTAAGGTCTTTCAAGGCTTTTTTTTTTTAAATGGGAAAACTTACTACTTGCACTTTTTTGGGGGGAAGGGGACAACTGGTAGCTCAGCACAGACATAAAACTGACAGAAACATTTTACTCTGAGTACTGTCTTCTCTTAGGAGGTAGCTGCATCCCTCCCAGCTTCATGCCAGTCTGAGCCTCTGAATGTGAGAATCTGCAAAGAACTCTTTCTTCTGTGGGAAGATCCCAGGGTCCACACAACTGTCCAAGCAACAACTGCTAGTTTCAGAAAGATGAACCCGCCACTGTCGGACGTTTGACTCTGTGAGGCTCAGAAGAGGACACGTCACCCTAAGTTCCCACACTGAAGGCTCATGGTTTAAGCAGTAGGTTTTACTCTCCCCAAAAGTGACATTCTGTTTGGATAATGGGCAGCGTCTTTGTGAATCCAATTTTATTTTGGGCATAAATGCAAACTTCATCAGCTCTGGACACGGGAGGCATTGGGGACGGCCCGTGTCCTGGCTGCGTGCGGCGGCAGTGTGGGCGGGCTGGAACTCGCCTGCTGCCAGAGTCTGTCCTTTTCCCGCTGGGTGGCCCTGAGGCTCTCCAGACTGCTCGGAGGCTCAATGTTCTTGTCTCTACAATGGGATGGGCATACCTTCCCTTGCAGCTTTGCTGTGATGATTAGAGGTACTATATCCCAGGAATGAACTGCCTAGCACAGAGACATATAAAAGAGACGCTTTGTGCTCCAGATCAAAAGGCTATTTCCAGACCTCCCAAGACAGCTGGCGTGCCCTGCTGTATAAGGAGTCTGCTTGGCCCCCAGGTGCCGCCTGAAGCTGGCCTGGCCTCCATGGGTTCCTAGGTTCTTGCTGGTGCAAACTAAAAAATGCTGCTTGCCATCTCTTTCTATAAGGATGACATCATCAGCCACTGCAATTGCTGGCATTCAACATACCCTGAGAGGTGTTCAGGGTGGAGGTCAGGAATAAGGCACTCTATACTCTGGGAAAATCTGGTAGAACAGACCTTCATAGTTAGATATTTTCAGGAGAAAATCTTTTGAATCTATTTCTTGTATCCTTTTGTACCTAGAAAATCACTAAAATCACTAGCAGAGATATCTGCTCCTTGTGACTAGCAGCAACCTTCTACTGAGACATGGGCTTGGTTGCCAAGATCACATACACACTGGCCTCTCCCCACTACCTGTCTGGTGAAGTTCCTCGAGCTGAGAGTCTGTCTCCCGGGCTATAGTCCTCAGTGAGGTCCCCAAATAAAACAACTCATACCTCCTTTGTGTGTGTGCTTTTTTTTCAGTTGACACCAGAATCCTGAGTCATGGAAACCACTCCAGAGGACACTGAGTGATAGACTCACAGACCCATGTATAGAAGCCCTGGAAAGGATAAAGGGACTAATCCTCACTCTTTAATTTACAAACAGAATGCTACACAATAAGCTAGGGGCAGAGTCAGAGTCATGGGGGATAATGAGACATGCAGGAGTGCTCTGCCAACTTTAGAGCCATATGCAAATGACAGATGTCATGACAACACTGTTGGCACTCTGTCTGTCTGTCCTCAAGCCCTACGGGGTGTTTCAGATATATGTACATAAAGAGAATAATGGGCTCCCTCTAGTATTTTAAATTTTAGGATTTCCCTGGTGGTCTAGTGGATAAGAATCTGCCTGCCGATGTAGGGGACATGGATTTGATTCCTGGTTCGGGAGGACTTCATATGCTGCGGGGCAACTAAGCCCGTGCACCTAGAGCCCATCCTCCGTAACCAGAGAAGCCACCACAACTAGAGAGCAGGCCCCGCTCACCACAATCAGAGAAAGCCCCATGCAGCAGCGAAGACCCACTGCAGTCATGAATAAATAACTAAAAAAAAAAAAATTTAAACCACAATGGCTAGGAAATCCCTCAAAAGATGGTATCTCTTCTTTTCGGCTGAGCGCCTTGTCATCTTGGAGGTGTCTCTGCTGCTGAGAGCGCCCCCAGGACTCTGCAGATCACAACGTGTTATGTGAAAGGCTCCTCCCCACGGGGCAGGGGGCTCTGCACCGCCCATCCGTGCTCAGTCCCCGTGTTGGCCCTGAAAACGTGATACTCACTTGGAGTATGACCCAGTGTCCTTCTCTGGAAGCCTTCTCCAGGGCCATTTCTGCCACCGTCTCCTGCCCTTGTCCTAAAGACACGTTGTGTAATTTTCCCGAGTCGATTGTAAACCCCAGTCTCTTGCCTGCGGGAGGGCAGGACACAGCAAGAGCAAGAGTGAACCAGGGAGAGGTGAGAAAGGTCTGGAGTTCTGTTATCTGACGTCCATCTGGTGACCGCTGTTACCTCCTGGGTCACTTTCCTAAAGAATCCAAACTAAACCTCTGTTGTTTCAACAAGCATCATTTTAAGCTTTCAGTGTCAATGGCAGCCTCCTCGCAAGCATTAGCAAAGCCTGTGGAAATTAGTTCTTCTGGTTTTATCATAATAAAGCTTTTGACATTTTGATAGGTGGCAAGCATTGTTATTAAGCTTTATAAACTCTTGCAGGAGTAGCAAAACATTGCCCTCATAAAAAGGAGCAACATGTGGTAGGGATCACATCATTTTTTTGACCGGATCAGCTTGTTCGGTAAAACGCAGGAGCCTCTCACCTTGCGAGGCCGTGCTGGAATCCGGCAGAGTCAGGTCACAGCTCTATTAACCCGGAGCTCTCCGAGCAGGCCGTGGGGAATAGTCATCGACAGCACAAAGCGGCTGTGCCTAGCACAATCGAATAGACTCGCTCTAATGACCATTATTTAGTCACAGGGGGCACAAGATTACAAGAGCATGGAGAAAATTGCCCTCTGGCCCTCATCTAGTCAAAAGGTAGAAAATTGTACAAAAGAAACTTGCATTATGCCAACCAGAGGAATGCTCCATTTAAACATTTCTTCTGACTACAGTGTTATTAACCTTACATTTTCCATAGATTCAATCTCCAACAGATGAGAAAGGGGGAAAAAAAAAAAAAAACTAAGATAACTGTGAGCTGAAAAGGAAGGTTGGGTTGGTGCTGGGTGAGAGGGCTGGATGGCCACCTCCTGGCCACTCACCCAGTATCTCCAGGTCTTTGAGGGCATCTACTCCTGGAGAGAGGATGAAGAATATGGGGGTGGCGGGGCTGCTCTCCTCAAATGCTTTAACCAAGTCCAATCTGGTCCTCTCTACATACTTGGCACCCAGTTTTTCCTCCACGAAATTCCTGTAAAAAAAAATAATGGCAAAGACAGGATCGGTGTTTTTGACCTTGAAAAAGTGTCACAACTTGAATCAGCTTAAACTGCAGACACAGGAAGGAAGCTAACCTTGTTTAGAACATACGATGTCTTGTAATAACAGCAGTATGAATCTGACTAGATCTATGCACTTGATTCGGTGAAATCTCTCACTGCTTTAGAACAGATGAAAATCAGAAGCCTACATTCTTTTTGGGAGGCTACCGAGACCCTCCTGAGTATCATCAGCTGCCTGCATGTGGCTTTGTGTCCCCCCAAACCCCCTGCCAGACTCCCCATTACTTATGAACAGTTCATTAGATTTGCCGCCATGCAATTTTCCAGCCTGTTGGGCTTCTCATGAATATACAAATGCTTTTTGGGGTGTTTCTAACACAGGGAAGCTCAGTTAAGCAGGGATTATTTGCCAGCAGCATCAGATTTAGCAGAAAGTAAGTACTACTAAGCAGAATTAACTTGTAAAGTAGGGTACGACAGAGGCTTCTGCAAAGGGAAAATTGGCTGAAAAGACAAAGCAAAGGAAAAAACCTGCGGCAAGTGAATACGACCGAAGAAAAAGCAGCTCCATAGGGAAGGAACTTGAGAACTCTCTGGCTGGCGAATTCAAATTAGAACTAAGCAGCATATTACCACTGAGAAGCCAAAAGGGCAAAGAAAAAGGACACTTAAACCAAGATTCAGACAAGGTTCTGCTTTTAAATTGCTCTAGTTGCAGAGTTATAGAACTGTAAGTGAATCCATGAAAGGAATTCATTTTTTGTTTGATGTGCAAAATCTTCAGAGCCAAAGTGCCACCACTAAGTGAAAGACAATGAGAATCACACTAGGATAATGCAAGTTCCTGGCCTCTGAACTCTGCCAGCGCTCTTCCTAGACTATTTCCATCAGTTTCCTGTTTCCCCTACTGATTTCAGAATTAAGGTTTTCAGGAAGAATACGCTCAGACCGCTGACAGACTAGTATGCTGTTCAGTGTTTAGCAAATCTTAGCAACAGTAGTGATTATAATATAAAAATGTTGGCAGAACCACTTTTCATTAACATGAACCATAATGTCTCCACCACTGAGTCTCCACCAGATACTTCTAGTCTTTAAGACAAAATTTCCTCTAGGTTAATTTCTGTAAGAGCTAACTGCCCCCACCTGAGAGCATATGTCATTCTGTCAGGGCGCACTGCTCTCAAAATAATCAGCTTCTGTATTAAACTTCTCTTCTTCCATTCTTGCGGTAACCTTTCCTTTTCTGGACACTCAGATTCTACCCACTTCCTCCACTGCTTCGCAGATCCTTCCACATCTCGGTCGAGGCCTCGAAACTCTTCCATGAGGGCGACCGCCTGTGATAAAACAGGAGCAGAGGTGACTAATACAGCAGCTGGTGTATAACAGCCTAGACTTTGAGACAAAGACCTGTGGATGTTGAGGTGAGTTCCCTGAGCTAGACAGCAGGTCCTTGTTGATTATCTGCTTCATACCTAAAAAAACCACAACACTGTTACTCATCTATAAAATAAACTAAAAATTAAAGAATAAGAAAGAAAGAAGGGCCTGAGACAAAACAAAAAAAGCAAGACGTGTGACTATGTTGGATCCTGTGCAGGTAAGTGGTGCTGGACAGTCTTCATTGCCTCTTCAGATTTATTCAGGACCCTTCCTGCCCTCCAAAGAGGGTGATCACGAAGGATGACTTGAACAAAGCTTCCGGTTTTCTGCCTGGTTGGGTCTGATCAACAGGAAGCACTGGCAAGAGCCTGGAGGGTTAGTGAAAGGAGGCGAAGGTACCTCTTCCCCAGAGCTTTCCCGGGATGTTGTTTAGTGGTGGCTCCATTTCTTTGTGGAATGCCAGAGTTCCCATAGGTTGGCTCTCTCCCATAACTTCTTTCTCAGTAGTTTCACTAACCTTTTCCCTCCCCATCCCTGGCTGATCCCCTCATTTGTCCTCTCATACTATGAAAATATACTCTCTGTTAAACTTTTTAAAAATCATACTTTGAATTTGCCATATGTTTTCTGCTGAGACCCTGAAACACAATTGAACTTGAACTTATAATTCTAGAGTAATAATCTAATTAAAAATTCTATTTAAAAAATAAAACCTAAACATACTAAAAAACTAAGGAAAAACATAGTTGTTTTCAATACAGAGAAATGTTCCTGTCTTAGGGGAAAAAAAAGAGTATGGTGAGGCTTAGCATGTGATGAGCATCTCTGAGGAATTCCAGAGTCAGAGAACAAACTTTTAATAATAGGATCTTCTGACAGAAACATGGAATAAGGATTTACAACTAGGGTTGTGCTGCTTAAACATTTTACAATGATAATACATGACTATACTGTATATATTAACAAAACTATTTTGAAAAAGTACAGAAATACTATAAAAAAGAAAAACCAAATGAAGAAACTAGATTCAGGTCAACTGAAAAAAAGATCACTTATACTCCTCAACTTTAACCAAAGGTCCTGTACATTGTAAAATTTACTAACAACTTTCCCATCCATAAATAGATCAAAAGTTCCTTTACTTCCAAATAAAAAAGGGAAATCAGAATATAGTTGGTGGATGTGTAAATTGGTGTAGCCACTATGGAAAAGAGTATGGGAAGTTCTTCAAAAAATTAAAACAGCATGTATCTACAACTAAAATGGTGTATATCACCTTTATTTTTAAAAACTACATTTTAGAGAACTGAGATTTGAAGTAAGATTTAGAAATTTTTTGAAAAATCAATATTCCCAACATACCTTAATAGCACTCCATGACTGATGAGTGAGGAAATCAACAGGACTCTGGTAAGTGTGTTCAACTGTGAACCGAAGCAGGAAATCCAATTCAAGACGATCTATCTCTTTCTTTCTCAGCAAAATCTTGAGAGGACACAAACAGGAAAGGGTCATTCGGTTCTCATCGAAAGCAAGGATGCAGTCACCACTTAATAGACATGGTTGACAAGGCAGAACTAAGACTTCTGAGAATTCCTATAGATACATGTCAGTTTCTGCTTCAAATAAGGGATCTTAGATTATGCTCATGAACTCAAAATCTTGATTGAAAACCTAACAGCAAATAATTACCAAACCTGGTTCATTTCAATTTTAACACCTGTGCCTACTAGCAGCATATTAAAATATGCTTTCATATTTAGCCTTCTGCTGTTAGATCAAACTTGTCTTGAAACTTTTTATACAAATTGAGAAAGCCTCAGATGAAAAAGGACCAAATCACCAAACAAAAGGTAAAACTAGTACAGTAAGTTAGTCCTGATATAGAAATTACATTCAATAAACTATGAGATACATAAGACTTTTCTTAGATGCGAGATTATATTGAGAGAAAACTGGAAATTGTTTTACAGACACAACTGAACAAACATATCATGAACTGAACTTTAGACATGTTGGTTACAGAACTGATAAAAAGTCCATAGACTATTTAGGAGGGACCCAAATAAAATATTCCTAATTTCCACATAAAAACTGTAACACCTTATAAAGTTAAACAGGTAAAATGTTTGAGGTTTGTGCTATTTAAAAATTCTAGATATTTTCAAAATGCATTACAGGTGGTAACATGTATCAGAATATTATTTTATTGGATAATCTTTCTTAATCCAATTTTTTTATTTTTTTAATTTTTTTTCTTATTTTTTCTTAATCCAATTTGATTTATTTCATCAACCAAAAAATTTTCCTCATATATATATATAAAGCTTGCATTTATGTAAATAGTATTTCAGATAGTATTTCAGATAGATAATTCACCTACATATTCTAAAAAGTTTTAAATAGCTGTACACACATGTGTGTATGCATACGGTACCATCCCTGGTCCATTACTGTTCATGAACAATCCATGTAAGCATACAAGTGTCAGCAAAACCTACAGACAATATGACTAAAATACGGTCAGAGGAACTGAATAGTCACTGTACCAAAGAAGGCATACAAAAGGCTGACAGACACATGAAAAAGTGCTCAACATCACTCATCACTAATCATCAGGAAAATTCAAATCAAAACCACATGAGATGTCACCTCACACCTGTTAGGATGGCTATTAGCAAACAGACAAGAGATGACACATGCTGGTGAGCATATGAGACAGGAACCCTTAACACTGTTGGTGGGAACGTAAATTGGTAAAACTACATGGAAAAGAATATGGAGGTTCCCCCAAAAATTAAAACTAGAACTATCACAGAATCCAGCAATTTCACTTCTGGGTATACATCCAAAAGAAGTGAAATCACTATCTCAAAAAGATATCTGTACTCCTATGTTCATTACAGCAGTTTTTTTTACAATAGCCAACATACAGAAACAACTTAAGCATCCACCTATGGATCAATGGATAAAGAAAACATGGTGTGTGTGTGTATGTATGTATGTATGATTTTTATATATGCACATACACATATACAATGGAATATTACACAGTCATAAAAAGAAGGAAATCCTGTCATTTGTGACAAGATAGATGAATCTTGAGGGCATTATGCTAAGGAAAAGAGTCACACAGAGTAAGAGAAACATTGTATAATCTCACTTTCATGTGGAATCCAATAAAACAGAGAACAATTTGGTTGTTGTCAGAGGTAGGTGGTGGGGGGTGGAAAAATGGATGAAAGTGATGCTGCTGCTAAGTCACTTCAGTCGTGTCCGACTCTGTGCAACCCCATAGATGGCAGCCCACCAGGCACCCCTGTCTTTGGGATTCTCCAGGCAAGAACACTGGAATGGGTTGCCATTTCCTTCTCCAGATGAAGGTGATGAAAAGATATAGACTTTCAGTTATAAACAAGTACTGGGGATGTAATGTACAGCATGGTGATCATAGGTAACAATACTCTATTGTGTATTAAGAAGTTGCTAAGGAGTAAGGCTTCCCTGGTGGCTCAGTGGTAAAGAATTCGCTGCCAACACAGAAGACGCAGGTTCCATCCCTGGGTTGGGAAGATCCCCTGGAGAAGGAAATGGCAGCCCACTCCAGTACTGTTGCCTGGGAAATCCCATGGACAGAGGAGCCTGGTGGGTTCTAGTCCATGGGGTCACAAAAGAGTTAGACATGACTTAGGGACTAAACAACAAAAAAAGAGAGTAAATCTTAAAGTTCTCATCATGAGGAAAAAATGTAACTATCTGAGGTGAAGGCTGTTGACTAAACTTATAGTGTAATCATTTCACAGTATATACATACATAAGATCATTATGTTCAACATGCTGGACTAATACAATGTATGTGTCTATTGCATCTCGATAAAACTGGAAAAACGTCAAAGAAAAATTCCATTTTGTAATGCATTACTCCTGTTTATCACATATATTAAAAATGATTCCACCCATATATTCTTTTTTATCCCAAAGAAATCCATTAACACTGAAACTATTGAAAGAGAAATGATCAGTTCAGTTCAGTTCAGTCGCTCAGTCATGTCCAACTCTTTGCGACCCCATGAACCGCCGCACACCAGGCCTCCCTGTCCATCACCAACTCCTGGAGCCCACCCAAACCCATGTCCATTGAGTCGGTGATGCCATCCAACCATCTCAGCCTCTGTCGTCCCCTTCTCCTCCTGCCCTCAATCTTTCCCAGCATCAGGGTCTTTTCAAATGAGTCAGCTCTTTGCATTAGGTGGCCAAAATATTGGAGTTTCAGCTTCAACATCAGTCCCTCCAATGAACACCCAGGACTGATTGCCTTTAGGATGGACTGGTTGGATCTCCTTGCAGTCCAAGGGACTCTCAAGAGTCTTCTCCAACACCACAGTTCAAAAGCATCATTCTTCTGCACTCAGCTTTCTTTATAGTCCAACTCTCACATCCATACATGACCACTGGGAAAACCATAGCCTGGACTAGATGGACCTTTGTTGGCAAAGTAATGTCTCTGCTTTTTAATATGCTGTCTAGGTTGGTCATAACTTTCCTTCCAAGGAGTAAGCATCTTTTAATTTCATGGCTGCAATCTCCATCTGCAGTTATTTTGGAGCCCCCCAAAATAAAGTGAGTTTCCACTGTTTTTCCATCTATTTGCCATGAGTGATGGGACCGGATGCCATGATCTTAGTTTTCTGAATGTTGAGAGAAGTGATAGTTTATCACTATTAACAGCAGGTATTTAAAAATGCCTTCTTTGAGAAAAGTACTTGGGAAGACACAAAATAAAGAAGACATCTTTCATCAAGATTTGAATTGACTGAAAAAGTTATACAGCAAACAAATTAATAAAAGGAACACGTTTATTTCATCTAGGAATGAGGTCCTCGATGGTTTTTTCTCACCATGGGTACTTTTATTTAAACAAAATCTTTTGCAGAGTCCATAGCAGAAAGAGGTCTTACTGAAGGCTGGAGTGTGAAACCTGGAGCTCTTTCCACCCATTTACTGTTTTTTAATGGGGCTCTGAAAACCTCCCAGGACCACTCAGATTTGGAACTTTAACCCTGAGATTCTCTCCAAGAAGCTCCCCAGTAGAATAAATACCTGGGAGGTCTGAACAGGACCTGGAAGGGTGAGGCCAACACCTCATGGACCTGTTTTACAGAGTAACAGCTGATGTGGTTGCCCCAAGTGCAAACTCACCCAAGCCACTGCACTCTGACCTACTCACAAGGCTGACATATGCCCAAGTTCCCTCTGGGAAACAAACTATCCAAGGGCTTCCAAGCAGCAGTGAAGTACCTAATACACAGAGATGCGAGACTTGGGTTCTGGGGCTGCTTTTCAGGGACTGATTTCCTCACCTGGAAAGCCATCTGGGACAGGAAGGTGAGTTTGTCTTTCTCAAACAGCGCCTGGCTGGTGTAGAGGAAGACGGCGTGGGTGATGCTCTCGGTCAGGGCGGAGATGCGCCCTGGGATGTCCTCCACCTTGTCAGCCTTTTCGATGGCTCTGTGGAACAGCATGTTGAAAGCCTGGGGAATTCAAGGCACCGTTAAGGGGTGGCAACTGGTGGCAGATGTCCAGCTAGTTCCAAGCCCAGAGGCGACAGTTTATGGATGGGGAGAGAGAACAGGACAGGTTTTACAAGGATGCTTTGAGCTCTAGAATAGCTCTTAGCATGTGGTAAGGTCTCAGTGAAAGTTTGCTATTATTTTTAACATTATTTCATAAAATCTACCCACGTTTTCTCCCTAACCAACTGAATCGCACTGTCCTTTGTCCTTCTACCCATGCAATTGAATATATATATATATATATATTTAATTTTGGTAAAATACACAAAGGGTAAAATCTACCATCTTACTAGTTTTAAGTAGTATGAAGTATATTCACACTGTGGTACAACCCATTTCCAAACTGTTTTCTTCTTGAACAACTGAAACACTGTTAGACAACAACTCACTTAAAAAACTCATTTAATTATATCAATAACTCCCTATTCCTTGACAACCACTATTCTACATTCTGTTTCTACAAGTTTGACTGCTGTAGGTACTTCCTACAGTGGAATTATATAGTATTTGTCTTATTGTGACAAGCTTTTTTCACTCAGTATAATGTCATCAAGGTTCATCTATGCTGTAGCATATGTCAGAATTTCCTTCCTTTTTAAGGCTAAATAATATTCCACTGTATGTACATATTTACTGTGGTTGTTCAGTCACTAAGTCCTGTCTGACTCTTTGCGACCCCATGGACTGCAGTATGCCAGGCTCCTCTATTCTCCACTATCTCCTGGAGTTTGCTCAAATTTATGTCCATTGAGTCAGTGATGCTGTCTAATCACCTCATACTCTGCTGCCCCCTTCTTCTGCCTTCAATCTCTCCCAGCATCAGGGTCTTTTCCAATGAGTTGGCTCTTCACATCAGGTGGCCAAAGTACTGGAGCTTCAGCTTCAGCAATGAATGAATATTCAGGACTGATTTCCTTTACGATTGACTGGTTTGATCTCCTTGCAGTCCAAAGGATGCTTAGGAATCACAATTTAAAACCATCAATTCTTCAGCACTCAGCCTTCTTTATGGTCCAATTCTCACAGCTGTACATGATTCCTGGAAAAGCTATAGCTTTGACTTCTGTCAGCAAAGTGATATCTCTGCTTTTTAATATGATGTCTAGGTTTGTCATAGCTTTCTTTCTGAAAAGCAAGCATCTTTTAATTTCATGCCTGCAGTCTCTGTCTGCAGTGATTTTGGAGCCCAAGAAAATAAATCTGTCACTGTTACCACTTTTCTCGCTTCTATCTGCCATGAAGTGATGGGACCAGCAGCCATGATCTCAGTTTTTTAAATGCTGAGTTTCAAGCCAGCTTTCATCCAGTGATGGACATTTGGGTCTATTATGAACAATGCTATGAACATGGGTATACAAATGTCTCTTTGAGACCACCTTGTAATCTTTTGGGTATATGTTCAGAAGTGGAATTGCTGAATCACATGGCAACTTTTAAAACAACTGTCATGTTGTTTTCCAAAGTAACTGCAGTGTTTTACAACCCTTCCAATAGTGCACAAAGGTTACAATTTCTCCAGATCATTGCCAACACTTGTTATTTTCTGTTTTTTTTTCTGAAATATTGTAGCTATCCTAATAGATATGAAATGGTATCTCATTGTGATTTTTCATTTGCATTTTCCTAAACATTAGTGATGTTGAACATCTTTTCAAATGCTTATTGGTCATTGGTCATGTCTCCTTTGGAGAAATGTCTCTTCAAGTCCTTTGCCCAATTTCTAACAGGTTACTTTTTGTTTTTGTTATTCCATCCAAGTACTTTTGGGATCCCCTTTGATTATCTAATTCTTTTAAAAATCACTCAATATTTGTTTTAACTCATGTGTCTTGGTAGCAATGGGACTGCATAGATTTTTACATATATCTATAGATATTTAAATATATAGCTAAACATATCCAACTCTATACATCTACAATCCAAATCTATATATCTATAAATAGATATTAAAAAAAAATATCAAATTTTTTTGACTGGTGGACAAGGACTAATATACTTGAGAGAAAGTAAAACCCTACAATGACTGACAGTAAATATGGGTAAGAAGGTATTCACAAAGCACCTATTTGCTATTTACATTTTAAAATCATTTTTTGATTTATAAACAATAAAATTCACCCATTAAACAAAAAGCTCAATGAGTAGTGATAAATGTATAGACTTCAGTAAATAGTCACTGCAATCAAAATGTAGAACCTTTCTATTCATGTCACCCTAAAAAGTTCTCAGGAGCCTCTTTGCAGTCTGTTCCCACCATTATCCACCCCATCCCTGCCCACTGCTCAGCTATTTGTCTCATGGCAGATTCATTTTAGATGTGTACCTATAGTACTTTGTTTTCAACTTCATTCCCTTTGGGTAAAGACCTAGAGTAAACATTTAGATCATTTTGCAACTTTATGAGAAACTGCAAAACTGTTTTCCAAAATAGTTTTAGCACTTTGCATCCCCAATGGCAAAGTGAGAGAGGTATAGCACCACATCGGTGCTAACACTTACATTAATGACAGTCTTGTAAAACTTGAGCCTTTCTATTGGGTATACAGTAATATCTCATTCTGCTTTTACTCTGCATTTCTCTGATGACTGTTGAGCATCTTAAAAATGTGCTTATGGGTAATATATATCTTAGTAGACAAGTCCAAGCCTTTCCTCCATTTTTTAAATTGAGTTATTGAGTTGTATATTCTGATATGAGTTCTTTGTGGAATTTGTGTATTGGAAATAACTTTTACTGGTCTATGGCTTGGTTTTTCATTTTCTTAATGTCTTTTGAAGTGGCTAACTTTTTTCTCTTATATTCTAAGAAATTTTTATTTCTCTTATACTCTAAGGATAAATCTTTGCCTAAACCAAAACCCAAAGACTTTCTACTGTTCTCCGGGAAATTTTACAGCTTAGGTTATTCATTTTGAACTCATTTTATATGGAGCGATGTAGTAGCTAAGGTTCATTTTGTTCCATGTGGATATCCAGTTGTCCCAGCACCATTTGTTGCAAAAACGATTCTCTCCTCAGTGAACTGTCTTAACACTCACTCCCGAGCATCAGTTGACCATACATTTCTGGGTCTGCTTCTGGACCCTCTATTCTGTCTCATTGATCAGTGTATTTTTATTTAGGTCAATCAGTGCGGTAAGTCTTGAAATCATATACTGTAAGTCTTCCAAATTTGTTTTTCTTTTTCAAAATTAGTTCTTTTTAAATCCTTGGCATTTCTACATAAATTTTAGAATCTGTTAGCCAATTTCTACAAAAAAAAAAAAAAAAAAAGCCCTTCTGGGATTTTCACTGAGACTGAATTAAATCTATAGGTTAATTTGGATAGAACTAAAGTCTTAATAATACTAATTGTTCTGAGTCATAAACATGGTCTTTTTCTCCATTTAGTTGAACCTTCTTTAATTTTCTCAATAATATTTTATAGCCTTCAGCATGCAGATGTAGTATCTGTTTTTTTTAAATTAACCCTAAGAGTTTCAGAATTTTGGTATCTACTGTAAATAGTATTTATTAATTTTATTTTCTAAATGTTTATTCCTCATATATAGAAATATAATGAATTTTGTATATTGACTTCATATCCTGTGATCTTGCTAAAAACTCACTTCTTAATCCCAGTAGCTTCTCGTGAAGGTCATCTGTGGAAAAAAGATAGCATTTCTTCTTTTTTTTTTTTGTATTGTTGCACTGGCTATAACCTCCAGTGCAATTTGAATAGAAGAGTTAAGAGAAGACACTCTTGTTTTGCTCTTGATCTCAGAGGAAAGCATTCAATTTTTCAACATTAACATTAGCTGAAAATCTTCACAGATGCCCTTCAACACACAGAGTATGATAAAGTGACCATTTTATCCCTGTTTGCTCAGAATTTTTTTTTAACCAGATGTTTTAATTTGTCAAGTTCTTTGCATCTACTGAAATTATAGGCTTTTTCTTTTTTTATTTTATTAATATGAAGAACTACATTGTGTGACTTTTAATGTTTAACCAACTTGCACTCCTAGCATGAATTCCAATTGAACATAACAGATTATGCTTTTTATATGTGGCTGGGCAATTTGCCAATCTCTTTTTTAGTAGTTTTCAACACTGTTTCTCATAGGGGCTGCTCTGTAGCTTTCTTTCCTTGTAATACCATAGTCTATTTTTGGTGTCTGGGTGGGCCTGGGCCGTAGTAATTTTCCCCTTTCACACTGCAGGGAATCCAAGCCCCCTGCGCTTCTCAGAATTTCTTTACTTGTTCCATCTTACTAGACATCTGCTAGTTATTCTTGATCCTTTCTCTTTATTATTGCCAGTATCCAATCCATCTCCAAGAGCTGACTGTTGTAGCTTCAAATTGTAAGTCTATACGTTTCTGTTTGAGTCTTTTGCCATCACGAGTCATCTGCCTACAGCCTTTCAATGGCCTCTCTTTGTCCACAGACTATAATCCAAAGTCCCCAGTATAGACCTCATGTGATCCAGACACTCCCAGCCCTCAGGACTCATGTTTCACCACCTTCTTCCTTACTCATTACCCCCCGCCACTTAAGATTCACTCACCTGGTATATGTGCTGCTGAAGCGAGCACAGATTCACTCACCTGGAATCTCAAAAACTCTTTCCTGTCTCTTATGTCTGTTATATTCTCCAAACACTATAAAACCACTGAGAGGTCTTTCCTGAGCCCTCAGTAAAACAGCCTCTCCATCTCTACTGTTCTTTCTCGTTGTACTTGTCACTTTTATACACACACAAATCTATATATCTCCATTCTTATCTGTGTTTTCCAAACTGTACACTCAGCAACCAGCACAACATCTGGCATTATGACTGATCACAATAGCCATTTGTTTAAAAACTGAAAGATGGAATGAATGGATACTGCCCAGAGGCAGAATGGTACACAGTAAAGACCACTGGGTTCAGAATCAGTCATGGGCTCAAATTCTGGCTCTTAAGATTATGAAATGTGAATTCTTCGCCAATTTAAAATCTGAACATATTAATTTTTTAAAATAGGGATAAAATAACATATTTTATCGAGATGTTTTAGGCATAAGAATGAACCAAAGAAAGGAAGTGCCTTGCATGAAACACTGGCTTAATCAATAGTTATTCCCACTTTTCTTCCCTCTGTACCAAAATAAAATGGGAAATCTTTTTTATAACATGTACACTTCCACAAAAAAAGGAAAGGAGCCTCCAGGAGAATTCCCTTTATGTGTCTGTCTGTGTGTGTGTGTGTGTGTGTGTGTGTGTGTGTGTGTGTGTGTGTGTGTGTGTGTGTGTGTGTGTATAAATAAAGAATCTTAATATATATATTAAGCTCCTTAAGATCCTATTGAAGAATGTAAACAGTGTAAACAGTGTGCTTTGATGTCACATAAGTTAATTATTTCAAAGCCCTATTGAAAATTAGAAATGAAAGTTACTGAGAAAGTGAAGATTTCTTTCACCTTGTTTTTATTTTGCTAGCTAGATCCTTGAGACTCCTTACTGGACGCACTACACTGCTTAAAAAAAAATTCTAAACTTTCAGAAACAAGTTGAACTTCTAAAGTCTAAATTTTTCTTAGCATATTCATCATTACCTTCAAAGAGAATTGATAGATGGGGTTGATTTTTCTGAGGTCATTAATCACAAAATATAGAAGAGAGGCTCTTGCTGCCACTGGTCTGTAACATTCTCGGGCCTCGTTGATTTTTCTTTCATTTTCTTTAGCTTCAATCACCTATGGTGGGAGCAAACAACATAAGTAACTTACTCTTCATGGTCTCTACGTGATGGGAGGGACATATCTGAAATGAGAAACCAGCAGTACTGAAGTAGGTAACACGTATGGCATCTTTACGCTTGGTCTTTTCTAAAAGCATAACATTCATATTTTAAAATAATCTTTTTGTAAACTGAGTTTTAAATGAAAATGGATGTATCTCCAGCTGTGTTATGGTTACAGATTAAACAAACCTGATTGTTTCTGGTTCTACAGAATTTATTCTGAGTAATGTCACCTTCCTGCCTCCCCTCTCTTTTTCAGGGGTTAATAACCCAGCTGTATCACCTCTCAGGGATAGCTCTTAAAAATCTGCTGGGTCAATTCAATGCCAATACCTTTATTAGTCAACAAGGTATCCAAATGCAGCCAAGGTCAATAAAATATCCAATAACCAAGCTTACTAAAAAGGCTTTATAGGGAGACTCTCATGACTGCCTAATTCTGACTTTGCACCAGATCATCCATATGCTCATATATTTCCATTTAGTTTATCTTTGTATGATATTAGCCTCTGGGTACATTCAGAGAGGTAATTAAACACACAGACCATCACCAGCCAACATATTCGTTTTTATTCAAGACACAGTTTCTTCTATCTAGGACTGTTGTTGGTCCTAGAGCTTTATAAGGTACAATATTTGTCCAACCTCTGTTTACAAACTTAATTCATCATACTTGTCTATAAAAGGACAGAAGAAAATGTAGAGCAGAAACCAGTAGTGTAAATTACTGCACAAAGCAGGACCTCTGACAGGATAATATTTAAATCATTGTGTTTGGAACACCCAGACCTTTGTCTAAGAGGTAACTGTAAATAGTCCTGTCTAACAATTCATTTAGCTTTTTGATGGTGTGCTTGCAGGAGGCACATATTGGTATGTACTTCAAATGGTTACTCAGCGGTAAGTGGAAGGGAGGGATAACTTGGGAGATTGGGATTAATATATACATACTACTATCAATAAAACAGATACCTAATAAGGACCTACTGCATAGTACAGGGAACTGTACTCAGTATTCTGTGATGGCTTATATGGGAAAGAATCTAAAAAAGAGTGGATATATGTATTTGTATTACATATTCACTTTGCTATATGCCTGAAACTAATACAACTTTGTAAACCAAATATAACCCAATAGAAATATTAAAAAAATTTTTTTAATGTAGAGCAAAGAAGGAAGCTCCTACATGGAAAAATGTTAGGAAGATAGCAGAGATATTTTAAGAGACAATTAGAAGTTAACTTCAAAGCTAAGACCTAATTTACTTAATTGCCTTAATCTTTACCATTTTAGGAGCTACCTAGAATTCACTTACTTAAAAGGAAAGAGTAATTTTGGATTCCATTTCCTTGCTTAAACTAAGATAAATATATTAGATGTGTGGTAACACAGTGTTAGCTGGGTAATTAATAGATTACTTAGTAATGAGGATACTCCAGAAAGCAAATAAGGCTTCCTCTCATTTCGAAACGCCAGCGTTTTAAAAACTAGTGGCCATGTGTGAAAGTCCAACATGCATGCACGAGGCAAACTAGGACACATGTTGGACGTTCAGCAGGAAGTCTACTAAGTGACTACTAAGTAACATTTTTTTCTAGCTTTTAGGAAACATCACTTTCCTGGGGAAATAATGCATTTGAGTGCAGTGGGAGACCATCCTTTGCTGTTTCCCAGCACTGAAGGCCTGTAAATGAAACTTAAGCTCTAAGTATTTCTGTAAAATATACAACAGACCAGGAAGCCTGTGGTGAGACTGTAGGATGTCAGTTTGCTGAAGCTGAAGACTAAACCTTTTAATATTTTAGACTACATAAGCCAGCAGGGCCCAATTTCCTTCAAATTTAGTCACTCAGGAAAAAATAACAGCCTGGCAGAGTCTACTATGAACGACTGAATCTTTGTTGAGTTAGGAGAAGCACAAGTTCAATCATCTCTATCTGCATCCAGAAATCCACAGAGTTCACTTTTTAAGGGCAGTTTATGAAAAGGCCTGAATTCCACAGTCAGTCGTCTTAGAGAAATGGCCAAGTGGGATCACACTCCTCCCCAGGCACTTCATTCAGACAGAACAAGCCCCCCAGAAGTCCAACGAGCACGGAAGCACTATTTACAACAGCCGAGACGTGGAAGCACCTAATTGTTCAACAGGAGGATGGATGAAGATGTACATACATGCGATGGACTATCACTCAGCCACTAAAAAAGAATGAAATAGTGACCTTTGCAGCAACATGCACAGACCCAGAGGTTGTCAGACCGAGTGAAGCCAGAGGGAGAGAAATCCTATGATACTGCTTACATGTGGGATCTTAAAACCAATGATACAGGGTGTGGAGAAAAGGGAACCCTCTTACACTGTTGGTGGGAATGCAAATTAGTACAGCCACTATGGAAAACAGTGTGGAGATTTCTTAAAAAGCTGGAAATAGAACTGCCATATGACCCAGCAATCCCACTTCTGGGCATACACACCGAGGAAACCAGATCTGAAAGAGACACGTGCACCCCAATGTTCATCACAGCACTGTTTATCATAGCCAGGACATGGAAGCAACCTAGATGCCCATCAGCAGACGAATGGATGAGGAAGCTGTGGGACATATACACCATGGAATATTACTCAGCCATTAAAAAGAATTCATTTGAATCAGTTCTAATGAGATGGATGAAACTGGAGCCCATTTTACAGAGCGAAATAAGCCAGAAAGATAAAGACCATTACAGTATAATAACACATATATATGGAATTTAGAAAGATGGTAACGATAACCCTATATGCAAAACAGAAAAAGAGACTCAGATGTATAGAACAGACTTGTGGACTCTGGGAGAAGGTGAGGGTGGGAGGTTTCAAGAGAACAGCATCGAAACATGTATATTATCTAGGGTGAAACAGATCACCAGCCCAGGTTGGGTGCATGAGACAAGTGCTCGGGCCTGGTGCACTGGGAAGACCCAGAGGAATTGGGTGGAGAGGGAGGTGGGAGGGGGGACCGGGATGGGGAATACATGTAAATCCATGGCTAGTTCATTTCAATGTATGACAAAAACCACTGCAATGATGTAAAGTAATTAGCCTCCAACTAATAAAAATAAATGGAAAAAAAAAAAAAAACAATGATACAAACGAACTTATTTACAAAACAGAAACAGACTCACAGACTCAGAGAATGAACTTAAGGTTGGTGGGGGAGGGGAGGTCGGGGAGGGATAGCTAGGGAGCTTGCGACACACAGGTAGGCACTGATATATTTAAAATGGAGAGTCAACAAGGACCTATTGTACAGCACAGGGAATGCTGCTCAATATACTGTAAAAAAAAACTCATTGGGAAAAGAAGAGATACACGTCTATGTATAAATGAATCACTCTGTTAACACCTGAAACAAACACAACACTCTTAATCAACTATACTCCACGATAAAAAGTTAAAAAAAAAAACAACCCTCCCGGCAGCACCTGCCTTTTCCTACCTTGCGCTCTATCTCAGCTGCAGTGGCCTTTGCCCTCTCTAGTCTCTCTACCAGTTTGGTGTCGTCTAGAAAGCTCCCTTCTGCCGCAGAGAGACGCAGGAGGAGGTCGTCCTCCAGGTACTTCAGCTCTATCTTAAAGTCATTTTGGTGCTTTGTCAGAACCAGCTAATGCAAACCAAACAAAAGGTGAGAGACAGTGAATAAATTCATATTATTTCATATAAAATAAAACACTTAACACTACAATTGTACTAATCATAATCTTCAAAAATTCTTTAAAAGCAATACACATAGTTAAATATGCCCAGAAATTTTCCCAATTAAAGTCAGGTATAAATTACTTTTTAATCTAGATGGAGATAATCAAGGGATAATTGCACATGAAATTTTGGCATCTCATAGAAATAAAATGCATTTTTGTATGCCAAACATCTCTGCCTCCTCCACCACCTGCTAAGGTACAGAACTGTAAATATTTGTATTTTCTTGCTTGTTTGTATTATTTGTTTTGTGATGCATTTAAACTTTAAATTAGAAGGCATGCTAAGAGCTGGTTGCACTCCAGGGTCCAGAGCGTGATCATATATCATAATCATGGAACATTATGAACCCAGAGGAAGAAACTTCTGGCTTCTGTTTTTACATCTAAAGAGAGAAGGCATTATTTCCATCCTCATAACAGGATAAAAGCTAACATCACAGCCCTTCTTGTATCTGTCAGAGAACTGAGGTCACAGGGCAATTGCCATGCTGAAAACTACAGAGATGGGTGAATACAGTCACAGCTTCTCAGGAACATGTAAGCAGTAATTGGCTAATTCCTGGGGGCAGAACTTGGGAGTTAAAACCTTCTGAGGGTTCAGTGTTTGGGGATCTCTTAGGAGAGGAAGCCCAGGGCAGATGCCTCTCTACCATCTGTTCTTTCCAACCTTCTAGGGCACATATCTGTTTCTCCAGCCCTGCTTCCATGATTCCAACTCTGTGCTTGCCAGAGTCACCTGCATCAAACAAGACCCACAACGAGTCCATCTCCTGGGGCACAATCCCGACTACTTCCTTAATCAGAAGTATCTTGAGCGGCTACTTAACTGTTCACATACATTCTCATTTTTCTTAACCAGATTGGGAGATCCTGGAAGGCAGGCATCCCACCTTATGTGTCTGGCACTATCATTTGTGCAAAGAAGGTACTGAATAAGTGCTGAGGGATAATTTCATAATTTTTACCTTAAGTTTCTCCAAGTCTGGCCTTTCAATATTGACAACCTCTGCCAACAGCTGGGCTTCCAGACCATCTTCTGTGACCGTGAAATTGAGGAGGGTTGTCTGAGCCTGCAGTTCTGGCTTATAGTGAGGATTTACCAGTTTTGTGTGAAGGATAAGACGAAAGTTGCAGTTAAATTCACATTCTTTATCTCCAATCTTGATATACCTAAAGGGGGCATAACACAGACATTCAGGAGACTCCCTTGAACCATGACTAATAATATGGTGTCATTCCATTCCTGTATTCTTTTGGTGAGTCATGATTTTTTGTTTAGTCTACATTTCCCTAAAGTATAAGAGGAGTAAGAATTATCCACTAAACCTCTATATGATTAAGTCTCCTTACACGTAAAATGGTGATAATGGTCGTACTCACTTCATAGCGTCACTGTAACAATTAAACACAATAAATCAGATAAAGAACCTATAACAACAAATGCAAACTTCTATTATTATGCTATCTATGATTAACCTTATATTAAAGATTAATATTCTTTAAGGATAAAATGAGTATGTATGGTCTCATACATGTGTTTGTAAGTATCCCTGATAAGCCCAGCCTTTAAGTGTTAGCTTCCCTGGTGGCTGAGATGGTAAAGAGCTTGCCTGCAATACAGGAGACCTGGGTTTGCTCCTTGGGTTGGGAAGATCCCCTGAACAAGGCAATGGAAACCTACTCCAGTATTCTTACCTGGAGAATTCCATGGACAGAGGAGTCTGGTGGACTACAGTCTGTGGGTTTACAAGAGCTGGACACAACTGAGGGACTAACACTTTCACTTTTATATATATATGTGTGTGTGTGTGTATGTGTATATATGTATATATACACACACACTTAAAATTTATACATATGAAAAATATGCATATTCTTGTCCTTATACACGCTTAATTTAAGCCACTTTAAATGATGCATATATGTGTGTGTGTATGTGTATATATGTATATATACACACACACTTAAAATGTATACATATGAAAAATATGCATATTCTTGTCCTTATACACGCTTAATTTAAGCCACTTTAAATAATGCAGAAGGGATTCTTTTTTCCAAGGCCCATCATGTGACTATGAGTAACGGTAGCAAAAATATTTTCCAATAAAGAAAGAGAGGAAATTTCCCCTGGCACTTTACTCAGTCTTGGTACTTTGGGCTCTGGCTCCGAAGTAAAATTTAAGAAGCCTGTTGCATGCGATGCACGGACAGCATTCTTCTAAGCTCTAAGCACACGGGGTGTGCTGACAGCAAGCACGCTTCTGGTTTGTGTCCCTGTTCCTCCGGCCACACGGCCCAGGAGTAGGTACTTCATCTGAGCTGTTCCAACCAGAGTAAACTTTTCTGGGATTCAGGACTGGGACAGAGAGAAGGGAGAGTTGGAACTGGAACCTCTAAGCTCTGCTGACGTCCCTCTGTCGTGCTGGTGAACCAAGCAGCAGAGAAAGACTGTCCTGGCTTCCCAGTACAGGACAGGATACTGGTTTCCCAGTATCTGAACACTGAAACCCATGTTCAGATCAAAGAGTAACACAAACGAGCATGTTCTGGGTTTCATGGGTTTCTCGGTCCCTCCTTTCTTGAAGTCTGGCTGCATTTTCACCTCAGTTGCCATGGCACCCTGCAGCCTCGTAACAGTCTCTGTTTTGCTTCACCCCGATGGAGGTGGTTTCTGTAATTGCAAGCAAAGCTCTGAATGAATGCAGTCACCCCGTGAGGGCAGAGCCTGATTTTTGTCTACCTCAGATGCTGGCATCTAATTTCTAAGGAATCCTCCCTGCGCTCCCTTGCCCTGTGGTTCTGAGTGCGCTAGGCCAGTGGACGCGCCGGCAGGAGCTTGTTGGGGGGATAGGTGGGTGGGTTGGGGGGAAGTGGAGTGAGGGCTATGTGCCGCAATCCACAGCTCATCTCGGGGCTATATGTGCCTTGAGATCCACAGCTCCACTCAGAGCAGCTAGGAACACCTTCAGGCCTGGAGGCAGTAATGGCTTTCCTCTGCTGCAAATCCTTCGTAGCCTCAGCACCTCCACTGAGCTCCCTTTACCCTTTGCTCTTCAAATTCCTCTTGTAAAACAGTCACTCTGTGAATCCTATCAAACAACTCCAGCCTACTTTGTGGTATTTTTCCTGCCAGGACCCTGCTATGAGGCTGTAGCAAAAGGCAAGTTTTTCTTACTCATGCACCAGACAGACAGAACCCATGAATGCTGGAAACTCTCAAATTCTTCCATCAAAGTGGCCTGAACTTTGGAGAAGTGAAATTCCTCCAAGAAGCTGCAAGCATGGCTGAAGCAAGGAGCGTCTTCTCAGTCTTCTACTTTAACTACTTACTGAAATTATGAGTTCTTCCCTATTTATTGTATATTTTCATTAGAGAGGTATCATCATGATGATGATAAGAATGTTACCCAAAGTCCACACTGTTTTTAATTTAAATATAATGTTTTAAGTAATTATGAGGAGAAAAATGAATACTCATCTCACTGACTTCTGGGTGAGGTGTTAAACGTCCTTAACTTTATCAACTTTGGAAAACTGGATGAATTCAAAGGAAAGACACCATAGAATATACACTGTCTTCTCTTTTGAATTCATCCAGTTTTCCAATACAAAGTGATACAACCACTATGGAGAACAGTATGGAGATTCCTTAAAAAACTAGGAATAAAACTACTGTATGATCTAGCAATCCCACTACTTGGCATAGACCCCGAGGAAACCAGGATTGAAAGAAACACATGCATCCCAATGTTCACTGCAGCACTATTTACAATAGTTAGAACATGGAACAACCTTGATGTCCATCAGCAGATGATGGATAAGGAAGTTGTGCTACATTCACAGGATGGAATATTACTCAGCTGTAAAAAGGAACACATCTGAGTCAGTTCTAATGAGGCGGATGAACCCAGAGCCCATTCTACAGAGTGAAGTCAGTCAGAAAGAGAAAGACAAATATTGTACATTAACACACATATGGAATCTAGAAAGATGGTACTGACGATCCTATGTGCGGAGCAGCAGAGAAGACACATATATGAAGAACACGTTTTGGACACAGTGGGAGGATGAGAGGGTGGGATGATTGGAGAGAACAGCATTGAAACATATACATTACCATATGGAAAAGACAGCCAGTGGGAGTTTGATGTATGACACAGGGACCCAAAGCCAGGGCTCTCTGAAAACCTGGAGGGATGGGGTGGGGAGGGAGATGGGAGGGGAGTTCAAGGGGGTGAGGACACATATGTACCTGTGGCTGATTCATGTTGATGTACATGGCAAAAACCATTACAATACTGTAAAGTAAATATCCTCCACTTAAATAAAATTTTAAAAAACCACACTTGGGGCTCTACTACAAAAGAAAAAGAGAGAGAGAGAAAGACACTGTATAAGTTCAGAATTTAGGCAATGCTGAATCCTCCTTACTAAAATGTCACAATATTTGCAAGAACTTTTTAAACTTGAGTAGAGATACTCAGGTGCCCTAATGTGGCAATATTTTGGGCTGCTATTGATGGATATTTCGTAACTGTCTTGCTCTGAGATGAAGTCATATGGTGAGGAGAAGGCCCCTAGTTCCCTGGCCACTCTTGACTATGGAAATTTTTATAACATACTTTAAGTGGGTAAGATTAGTTAATAATCAGTTTTCTTAAATCACTAAAGCATTAATCAATAAGTCACCCAGTCACTAAAGTCACTAATCACTACAGTTAAGAATCTCAAATGATTGATCAGATTCATAACATACTGTCTCCATTCAATTCTCAACTTTTTTTTCCCATTGTAGTGATATTATATTTCAACAAAATCTTTCACAGGTTGCCAAACATTTAAGGACAATTAATATAAGGACAAAGGATATAGGAATAGACAATGGGCAAAAGACATTCTCTGAAACAAATGGTGTTGGGAAAGATGGATGGCTGCACATAAACCGATCAAGTTAAAACACATCCTCTTGCCATACACATGAATAAACTCAAAATGGCTTAAAGACTTAAATATAAGGTATGACACCATGAAACTCCTAGAAGAGAACATAGGCAAAACATTCTCTGACATAAATTGTGGCAATGTTTTCTTAGGTCAGTCTCCCAAGGCAACAGAAATAAAAAGAAAAATAAACAAATGGGACCTAATCAAACTCACACATTTTTGCACAGCAAAGGAAATCATAAAAACAACAAAAATGAAAAGACAACCAAAGGATGGGAGAAAATATTTACAAATGATTCAACAGTCAAGGGCTTAACTCTCCAAAATGTACAAACAGCTCATATAATTCAACAGCAACAAACCAAACAACCCAACTGAAAAGTGGGCAGAAGACCTAAATGGACATTTCTCCAAAGACGACACACAGATGGCCAAGCCAACAGGCACATGAAAAGATGTTCAACATCACTAATTATTAAGAAAATGCAAATTAAAACTACAATGAGGTTATCACCTCACACCAGTCAGAAAGGTCATCAGTTAAAAGCCTACAAATAACAAATGCTGGAAAGGGTGTGCAGAAAAGCCCTCCTACACTGTTGGTGGGAATGCAAGTTGGTATAGCCACTATGGAAAATAGTATGGAGGTTCCTCAGAAAACCAAAAACTATAAAAAACAAAAACAAAAACTGTAGAACTATCACATGATCCAGCAATCCCACTCCTGTAAACAACCCAAAACTCGACATGAATGATTTCACCATTCAACTTAATAAAAAATGGCTCCCAAAGTAGTCTGGCAGGTTTTTCAAGCTTAGAAACTTAACCAAAAACTGTGAAAGCATCTTAAAAATTTTATTGAACTATAGTTTATTTACAATGCTGTGTTAATTTGTGCTATAAAGTGACTCAGTTATACATTTGTGTGTTTGTGTATGTGTATGTGTATTAGTCTTCTTCATAATCTTTTCCATTATGGTTTATCAATTTGGTTTGTTTCCTGACAAAACTGTTAATTCAAAAAGATACATACACCCCTATGTTCACAGAGGTACTACTCACAATAGCCAAGACATGGGAACAGCCGAAAAGGCCACTGACAGATAAACGGATAAAGATGTCGGACATATATATAATGGAATACCATGCAGCTATAAAAAAGAATAAAATAATGCCACTTGCAGCAACACAGATGAACCTAGAGATTATCATACTAAGTGAAG